AATATACTAGTCAATATTGGTAGGGGACACCTACATGCTAGCTTGCTTTGGATTTAACACTATTAAACACTTGCACTATGTTTTGCAAGGAGGCCGTCATTGCTGAAACTAAAACTTAAACTGGAGCCATTGACGGAAATCGGGGGAAATTCTGGAAAAAATATGAAAATTGCCAAAAAAAAAGTTTAGGGTCGGGGGTATAAAATAGGGAAGGTCGGGTAACCGGAACCATACATATTTTTTTATTTGGCCTAATATATATACTCCATTTCTGCTTGATGCAGACCCCCAAATCATTAACCAAAGTACATGAAAATGTATACATTTATATGATAAAACTATCAGTAATGTTTTAAAACAGTTGTTGACACCCTATATTATTTCCAAGACATTTATTTCACTTTTGGAAGACATGTTTCATAATAAAATCATAAAATTTTAAAAGCAATAACTTTAAATAGATAAATAGATTCGGATACAAATGTAGAATTTTTGAACCAAAAAATCTACAGACAAACAAACAGGCAGAGAAACAGACATTGTGATTCCAGTATATCCCAAAACTTTGTTGGGAAAAATATAACAAAGTTTATTATACAGGGTGTACTTACCTATTCTGAAGCAAGCCTAGGATATTGGTGTCTGTTCTTCCATTTTATTAATGAGACTGAGGCTGACTGTATATTGAACCTATATAAATTATAAAACAAACATTCACACAGTATAAATATTTTCTAGACATATATCTAATCCAACTAAAAGTTAAAGAAACTACAAAAGAGAGTGAGTACAAGTCTTTAGGTTAAATTCTCTAGTGTTGAAAAAAATCTATAAATGTCAATTTATATACATGTAAATAATCAAATGAAATTAGATAATGTACTTCAATACACATGTAATAGTACCTTGAATGTCTGATTAAGCTAAAAGTCATTATCTCCCAGAAGATAATGTATAGTTTTATAGTTCTTCATAGTTTTTATAGCCAGCAAGTTCTATAATATATGCCTTACATATTTTCATATGTTTTTCATATACTTATACATGATATACATATATTTTATAAGTGTGCTGGATTTGTTCTATAGAAAAAGAGTTGGATTAATTTAGTTTTTGATATATGTTAAAGTCATTACTTATATATACTGTGATGATTATTGTATTTATTTATTTATTTTTACCTGCATTGTTATCATGCATCGTCTGCCAAACCAGCTTTGGGTTTAAATCGTCAGTCTAATCAGCTTTGTGTTCAATCATCAGTCAAATCAGCTTTGTGTTCAATCGTCAGTCTAATCAGCTTTGGGGTTCTTTGAACCAAAAAAAATAAAAGAATACATAAACAGCACTGTGACACTGAACTCCAGTTCCAAAATACATTATTTAAAACACGTTTCTCATTAATTTGATGAAAGAACCAAATGAATAACGATCTCAACAAACATTTTACGTTAACTGCTATACAAGGTTTCTACTTTCACTTTCATATCGAATATAAATATTCGAGCGTAGCTATTAACAAAAGGGAAACAAATCTGAAAAATAAGTGATGCTAAATGGCCTTAACATTCATCGTTAACAAATCCAAAATTACTTATTGATCACTAGGTTTATCGGCTTTTTAAGAACTGCATTAATTTTACAATTACAGTCCCTGAAACGTTCTACTTTCCCATTTTTCCGTTCGCTCACCGTTCGTTCAGCGTGCGTTCACCGTTCGTTCACCGTTCGCTCTCCGTTCACAGTTTTGCGTTCACCGTTCACCGTGCGCTCGCGTTCACCGTTCACAAAGCGTTCAGCGTTCGCTCTTCGTTCCGTTCACTTCGCGTTCATCTTGCGTTCAGCGTTCACCTATCGTTCAGTTTTCATTGCCATTCGGAACTCCGAAGTGAAAGGACTTATCTTTTTGTAGTTAAGGAGTTACAGGTTTTTTTTTTAATTTATTAACTAACATATCATGTTTGAAGAATCATTATTTCATGAAGAAAAATATCTACGATATATATTTTTATTATTTTAACTTAGCTGTTAGGTTATTTATTAAATTACTCTGGAAAATAAATGTTACAAGCACATTCTGTACCTATGTAGAACGATGTGAAATATTAAATTTAACTAAGGGCAATGCAAATACTTCAAGCACTGCAACATTTTGTTGTTTTGTTAAAGACGAAAAATCATTAATGGAGATATAATTATTCAAGTCAAATAATTACACAGCAAAATTACGAAAATATTTATTTCTAATACGTTTTTTTTTTCAATTACTACGGAAAATATAATAGAACTAGTACTAGTTCTGAGAGTTATACATAGTACTGCGGATATCCTGTTAATTTATTATCTTTAGAACGAATTAAATTGATAGTGTGATTAAAGGAAATATTTATTTAAAATGTAATGCACTACAGAATTTCTCTACTGTAATATGTAAAGTCTATAATTATAGAGAAAAAAAAACTTTCTTCACCGTAACTTTATATGTTTGCTAATCGATATGATTAATACCCCCCCCCCCTTTCCCCCTAAATCGGTGACTTAGTCAGTACCATATTTCCAGAATGTTTTAATTAACATTTCAAAAAAAAAGCTACGGTCTTTTTTAGAATAAAAATTTCAGTCTCAAAACAAACATGCATCTAAAAAAGTCACTAAACAATAGTAGATCAAAATGTACACGTGTCGGCGGTGGTATTTGAAATTGGCAGAGAGTATGTTTCACATTCAAGTGTTAATGCCTACTGTATTTTATTAATTTATTATTCAAATGTTGGAATCAAATCTAGAAATGATAAAAATAAATGTTATAACTTGTTGGAAATACTCGCACTTCGTCTTCGATGTGACGAAACTTTCACACCTGCACAGTGTCGAATGATTTTGATTGACAGGACAAGCACGTGGACTTCGTGTGAACTTGGAGCAGGAAAATAAAAAACGAGTATGACTGTCAAACAAATGGATATGATTTGTTGATAAAAAAAAAAGTTACTTTCACTGTCTGATATATTTAGAAAAAAATTTCCGAGTTTTTGTTTGATATAGGTACAAACATTTGGTGAAGCCCGAAAGGAGGGGGGGGGGGCTAAAACTGAATATTACTCTCTCTCTCTCTCTCTCATTTCTCTGTTTAATAAAAACTATAACACCATATTACTTAAATATAAAGTTCTGAAAATTGAATTTATAACAAATAATATGAATATGTATCTTTGTATCATCATGATCTTGTCCGAGTATAATCACGGCCATCTAGAGATGCATGTAGACGTCTGCTCAATAAATCATAATGAAAAATAGGAATGACACATAATATATTATTGTTTTAAATATTTAAAATACGAGCGTACAAATGTAATTAATTTTTTTTTCATTACTTTACACGAAATCGCCTTGACACGGAGATATATAATATAAATATATATATATATATATATATATATATATATATATATATATATATATATATATATATATATGAATATAAGTTACAACCGCTTTAATTCATTCTATAAATCATAAGATTTCTCTGATTTGTTATCAACTAAGAATAAACATTTTTATTTTCCAACTAAAAACAATATCTTTTATACTTCAGCGTTCGGCAACAAATGCAATGTTTTAATGCGATAAAAATCGTGTGATTAAAAACTTAATGTGCATGCATCGTCTTTCTGAGGACAATTTTGGAGAATTTATTTTATTGACTTAATTATTCATTCATTTATTTGTTTACTTATTTATTTATTTATTTATTTATTTTTTTTTGGCACCTGACATTATAATACAATAAAATAGTTTCAATGCAAGGAAAAGATTCAGAGGCATTCCGAATATATCGTTCATCTTGCGTTCACCGTTCGTTCACCGTTCACTTTGCGTTCGCGTTTGCGCTCTGTTCGCGTTCTGCGTTCGCTCACCGTTCACACATCGTTCACCAAGTTGCGTTCAGCGTTCACACATCGTTCACTCACCGTTCGCTCTGCGTTCGTTCACCGTTCGTTCAGCGTTCGCTCACCGTTCAAGTGGGAAAGTAGAACGTTTCAGGGACTGTACTTACAAGTGATGAGAGTACTAGAAAGTTTATACGGATCTGTAACCGTAATGAAATGATCTGAACACGATGAACTAGCCTTTAATAAGTCGTTTAAAACGTATCTGAGATCACTTACTTTTTCCAACACCCAACTCTTCTGCTGCAGTAGTGACGTCAAACATAACGTACACTTTCATCTGATAAAAACCGAAACCGGTCCGTAAATAAAATGTGGAATGATTTTAATTTTACTCATAAAATAAACCCAACCATAACGGTTTTTGGATAAAATACAAATTAATTTATTCTTGATGAATTTTGTTTTTCAAGAAAACAAATTTTGAATTTTATGAAAGGATTTATTTTTTTCGGGGGGGGGGGGGGGGGGTAACAGAGTACTTTTTCCGTTTTTATCCAAGCTTCTTAAGGAAATGAACATCTTGATTCTTTTGAATAAATATACATTTAAATTTACACACCTTGATATATGTTATTGAAATTATTTTTTAATCATGCAGTCTACTTGTTAAAATATAACACCAACTTATTCATATTTTGAAATTATTCAAGTGTTAACTGATTAACATTGAATAAACTAATTTTTTTTTATTTCATTGAATTAAAATAAAAATGAATTTTACCTGTTTATAACAATGACAAATAAATAAACACACACAGATCTGTTTCATATGATTCTCATATGATAATTCTCAAAGTATGCATATGATTCTCATATGCAGGAACTTTCATATGTGTATCATATGTATATTGCTTCATATGATTCACATATGCGTATTCATATGATCCACATATGATTCGCCACATATGATACTCATATGATTGTATATACATATGATTCTCATATGATCCTCATATGATTCTCATATGAAAGGCAATGCATATGTGGATCATATGTGGCGAAATTGCCTATGTATTGAAAGGTAATAATTGATCATGCTCATAAATGTCCACATTTACAGCAATATTTGTTTTCTTAGACTCTAATGTGGAATCGCTGAGTTACTGTTCCCCTGGGTACTGCTACCACAGTGGCACGTGTACAAATACACCTTTTGCTATTTGTACGTGTACGGTAGGATTTGTAGGAACACGATGCGATGAAAGTAAGTAATCAGATGAGGAGTAATGATTTACATATAACAAAAAAAGGACACATATTCCTATCCTCGTTATTCGTTACAGGTGTTTTTTTTAATGCTTTTCTCTCTTTCTCTCTGTATTATGCTAATTAATAAAAAAAGTATGCAGTACAATTAGGAGTTTTAATCAAAGTCCTGTCAAAAAAGCTAAAGAATTGAAATTCACCAGTAAGATTTCATATCCTCTGATTTAAATAGGATCTGAAGAAACAAATCAAATATATTAATTATACACAAAACTTGATCTTATCTTAAGCCATTTTACTTATAACATTACAGATAATGACTTTCAACAAGACTATTTTTCAAACTCTTTTTCACTTCATTGCAACAGATCTCTTTAGACTTTTTCACAAATCTGTCAATAATACAAAAATACATTATTTACTGGAAGAGTAATGCTTACATTGTTGTTTCTATAGGTGTAATAAAAATAATAATAATAAACAGGGTGCATGTTATTCAAAGTAACTGCACGTAAATGTTTTGGTTACGACTTTTTTTAAAACTCGAACTGATGTGAAAATGCTTTGAAGATATGTTATAGCTATTGATTAAATTGCATTTTGTAGATGGCATGGAAAGCTTTGGTAATCAAATTTACAGTAGGTCAGGCTTTAACAATGTACAGGCAAAGCAAGATACAGAGAAAGTACAGCAAATTATACAGGAACACATTAATCATAACTATCAATTACCAAAGACTGTGGTAAGCACATTTTATGTACTGCTATCATAATTTTTTTTTTGTATTTTGTTCAGCAACGTTCTTTTGAAATAAAATAAAATAACGCAAAAACATAACGTAAAAGAATATATAACAACCATATTGTCCAAATACCAGGATGGCAACTGGTCATTATTTTATGGAACTGCAAGAGATACAGTTAATCCTACATTTCATATCCTGCAGTTGTTACATAAGTAAAGTTTCTCCTTTAACGTATATAGAGCTGCAGCTGTCGACATAATAAAAAAATAATGAAAAAGAAAAGTACAATTTGGCAAAGTTCCTCTGAATTAATGACGAATAAAATACCACTCACCCCTTGGCTTCTACAACGTGCTTCAGTCTCTTTTATAAATTATCTAATCGACGATAAATAAAATTTATACCACAGTAAAATCAGTAAAGCGGTTTATGGTAAGGGTAAGTTCTTTCTAATTTTAAAATAAATTTCCTGGAAATATCAAGGGTGGAATTTAAAGTGCACTAATAAATTCAAAAGTTTTTGGAGATTGAAATCAAGAACTCTTGGCCTTGAGAAAAAAATCTTAGCCGATGACAAGTACCATGTTAAAAAAAATCGGGTCGATGTTGTGTGGAAGTTGAGGAAATTGAAATAAAAAGAACCATGCTTAAAATTTTTCATCACTTTCAATGATAAAAAAAACAACCAAAAACAAACGTACAAGGACTGTTCCGAAGTTTTGCATAAAGTGTCGATCTTTTTTATATTAGATTCAAGAAATTCAAGATCAGTACATTATAATTTGTGTAAAAACATTCATTTTTTTTTTAAAGAATGAAGTTTCATTCTATAAGGTTTGATGGAAATCATGCTATTTAATTCTAAAATTAACATGTTTTGTTACCACGGAACACAGTAGCATTTAAATATAACGTAATGAGATTTTAAATAATACCCTCCATATGTATTGAACACACAGTCTGGTGCCATACTCACTTTTCAAAATTTTTCTATCCCACTTTGCGTTTAGTTTTATTACAAGTTCGTCTGTTCATTTTTTTCGTGGTACTATATTTTACAAGATGCGCAACAGTGAATACAACATATCTTTCCATCATTAACTCCTATAATGATATCCGGTTTCCTCACAGACAATATATTTGTAGCGTCTGATACAGAGTCTCTGCAACTCAAATATAATCTGTGCCATTTACACTTTAATGCACTGCTCATTTTGATATATTTCCTGCTCCCTCCAGCATTTTCAGAGCTTATTCTGCAGTTTCTGAAGTGCTACACAAAATTGTATTGCTGGTTGCTGCTCCGTGATTTTCTATGATGTCAACCTTTTTTGCTTTTTTTTTTTTTTTTTTTTTTGTCGCCCCCGTCGCGCAGTGGTTAGAGCGTCTGCTCTAGAGTCGCGAAGTAAGGAGTTGATCCTTACGTCGCGGGTTCGAATCCCACTGTGGGACGTGGAGACCGGTCCTTCGGATGAGACCGTATAAACCGAGGTCCCGTGTCACAGTAGGTGCTGGCACGAAAAAGATCCCTCACTGCTCAATGGCCGTAAGTGTCGAGTATAGGACAAAATTTGCAGCTCTCCACCGGCAAGTGGTGGCGTCTCCATATGAGTGAAAAATTCTCGAGAGGGACGTTAAACAACATACAATCAATCAATCAATTTTTTGCTTTTTTCAAAAAGGACTACCTTTCTTCTGAAATTGATTTCATTTCAACGAGGCAAAATATTAAGTCACAATATGGCAAATGTATACAGAAATTATGTAAGAAATTTTACCATGAACGTCTAGACTTTTTCGCTTTGCGCCATTTTACATGATATGATTACACACATTTTCAAGTGCATTCTTTGTAAATTTGGACCTACTCCGTGGCCACGATTAATTTTAAAACATGTCTACCAAAGCATGACGGTAAGAAAAAAAGTAATGACAGAAGTCCGTGAATTTTTCGAACAGTCCTTGTATGAAGCTTGTTTTTGTTTAATTTTTCTTCAACAGAAATACATGAATGACATCTTAGAGCATATTACATCTGAAATGAAGAAGCAAACAGAACAGAAAAAGGAAATGGAAAATGCTGACTTTCTGCCTCTAACAGAGGGTAATCTTGCCAAAACTAATATATGTTTTGAAACACTACTTTTATCTATATGTTTTTTCAAATGAGGCCGAGTCTAAGTCGAGTGCGCATTACTTTGCGCAGCTTTTTATGCCCCCGGATCGAAAGATCCCGGGGGTATATTGTTTTTGTCCTGTCTGTCTGTTTGTTTGTCTGTTTGTCCGTTTGTCTGTTTGTCTGTCTGTCTGTTGTCAACTTTAACCTTACCCATAACTTTTGATTGGTTGGAGCTATGACTTTCATATTTCACATGTGTATTCCTTGTGACAAGACCTTTCTTTGGGTACCATCATATTTGACCTTTTGACCTTGACCTTGGAGTTTGACCCACTTTTGCAAAATTTTATGAGACTTTAACCTTGGCCATAACTTCTGAACAGTTGGAGCTTGGGGTTTCAAACTTCACATGTGTATTCTTTGTGACAAGGCCTTCTTTCGGATACCAACCACTTTGACCTTTTAACCTTGACCTTGGACTTTGACCTACTTTTGAAAAACTTTAACCTTGGCCATAACTTTTGAACAGCTGGTGCTTAGGGTTTCAAACTTCACATGTGTATTTCTTGTGACAAGACCTTCCTCTGGATATCAACCACTTTGACCCTTTTGACCTTGACCTAGGAGTTTGACCTACTTTTGAAAAACTAACCTTGGCCATAACTTTTGAATGGTTGGAGCTAGGGCTTTCATACTTCACTTATGTAATCCTTGTGAGAAGACCTTCCTTTGAATACCAACGACTTTGACCTTTTGACCTTGACCTAGGAGTTTGACCTACTTTTGAAAAACTTTAATCTTGGCCATAACTTTTGAATGGTTGATGCTAGGGCTTTCATACTTCACATATATAATCCTTGTGACAAGACCTTCCTTTGGATACCAACCACTTTGACCCTTTGACCTTGACCTAGGAGTTTGACTTACTTTTGAAAAACTTTAACCTTGGCCATAACTTTTGAATGGTTGGTGCTAGGGCTTTCATACTTCACATATGTAGTCCTTGTGACGAGATCTTCCTTTGGATACCAACCACTTTGACCTTGACCTTGACGTTTGACTTTTATTTAAAAAACTTTAACCTTCACCATAACTTTTGAACAGTTGTATCTAGGTCTTTCAAATTCCACAGGTGTTTTCCTCGAGACAAGATTTTTATTTGGGTATCAACATTTTTTATCTCTTGGCCTGGATTTTGACTTGCATTTGAGAAACTTTAACCTTCGACATAAGCTGCCATACGGGGGCATAGTGTTTCACAAACACATCTTGTTAATTTCATGCAGTCGTGGTGCGCCATTACACCTTTCCTACGTATTAAGAATTTAATACAAAATTAACAGTATCTGTAATGTCTATTGGTCTTAAAATGTCCTTTTAAGACAATACTTAGGAAAAAACGCTTAAATGACTCTAATGACTCTAAAGACATCACTGTTTTCTGGTTTTGTAAGCAATTCTTGACGCCGAAGAATGACTAATAACTGTATGTGGATTCAAGCCGTCCATGGATTTTTTACTAAAAACTCCTGACAGAACATATATACAGATCATTTCTTGAATTTCTTATACATTGAGCAAAAGCGTAGATCATTTCTTGAATTTCTTATACATTGAACAAAAGCATAGATCGTGTTTGAATTTCTTATACATTGAACAAAAGCATAGATCGTGTCTTGAATTTCTTATACATTGAACAAAAGCATAGATCGTGTCTTGAATTTCTTATACATTGAACAAAAGCATAGATCGTGTCTTGAATTTCTTATTCAATATACAAAGTAACATGAATAAGAAGTTTGCAGTTATTAACATATTATGTAATTACTATACTCTAACAAATGAAGCTCAGAAAGAAATTGTGAAAAAGCTCATGAATTTATTTTACATTAATAAAAATTGCAGATCGATAAACTTTGCACGTAACAAATATTTTCTCGGGCTGATTTGAACTAAGTTCCATTTCTTCTTCATAACCAGAGGTAGAGAATGTGTTACGGTTCTTTAGAGAAAAATAAGTAAAATTAAAGGCATGAGATTATATGTCTATCTGGCAACGAAATACTGCCCTCCTGATTTTACAAGTACTAATTGTAGATGGATAACTTCTTAATTCTGCTGCGTTTTCTAACAACTAGAAATTTCATTTCAGATTATGTAGATATTCTTGCATACGTTGTCACAGTACTCAACAACAAAGGGTGTAATGTGGGACAAACAATTAACTGCACAGTGAACGAGCTTGAGGTGACTGGATAAGTATTCAATTAGAGAACACAAGTATTTCTTCTTTAAATGTTTTAAATCAATAAATATTTCTTTGTATTTAATTTTCCGGTAATTTTTTTTATTCTAAAGAAAGTTCTGAAAATGGTAGTGATTCAATTCCAGGGTGTTTTGCTTTTATTTTGTTTCAGTACTCTACCTTGCTTGACAAGGCAGAGGAAAATCTGATAGGGATAACCAGTGTGATGGCACTGACCAAGGTTGAGGAAGGACAAATAAAGACAATAGACAAGAAAGGAATAGTCTCTTTGACGGTCCTTAAATCAAAAGGGAAGGATCTTCCATTTCAATTCCAGTCAGCTTATGGATCTGTCACACTACCTTACTGGGAGACTTACCAGGACAGCATCGGAGAGGAGATAGTAGCACTTAATGTACATATCAATATTTATGCTCTTTGACTGAGAGGCGTTCTAAACCACTCATAAACTTGCATTACTTAAAATGTGATTGTCTATAATCAATGAATCGTTTCAATCTATCAATGGGTTGTCAGAAAGATAATGCTTTTAAAATGAAGAACAATGAAGTGATATTTTTCAAAGAAACTGAACATTGACAAGAGGATTTCTCCCTTTTTGACAATAATTATTATTCAGCTATTAATTTCATTGTTCTGTTTAAATGCATAACATAAAAAAGTTGTTCCTTTGAAACACAAAAGGTTGTTAATAGCATAATTGGCTTATATTTGGATTTCACAGGTGCTGACGTATCACAAAAGTCCATATGGATTTGTAAACAACACAGATGCAGTGTCATCAGGAATACTCAAGGTCATGGTGACAGACCAAAAAGGAACAAGGATCAGCCTTAAGGATCGGGATGACCCTGTCGATATGACAGTTGACATGTCCCAGGTGCATAAATATTTATGAAATTTTACTGTTAAATGAACAGCAAAATCACCATGTCCGTTTTATGACTTTTAAGTCTTCTTATTTCACACAACCTAAGTTGTTCCCAAACCAAATTTTCATATATATTATGTATCAACGAATGCTGAATGTTGCATTATCTATATGAAGCAACTGACCTTTACTTCTAAATTATTTTGTTTTAAATTACTCTTGTCAAGGACATCGCTTTAGAGTGTGCATAATTCATTAAAAGTGGTATCAAGACCAATACCAAAAACGGAACATCTATAAATGCATTTACGGATTTTTAAGTAATTATTCTCATCCTTTTAGAAGTGATGAATATATTATAATACCAAACCTGCACATACGGGTGATTACTTATAATTTTGTTGGATGAATAATTCGGATCTGTCTATAATCCATATACATGTATTACATTTCAATGAATAATAAGAATAGCGTATATAGATCCTCTGGTTTATAAAAGAAGTTAAGTCCTGTTATTGCAACTCTAAACATTTGTACAATTAAAAGTTCCAATCTAACTATCAGTGGTCGATTTTCTATCTTGGATCTATCATTTTATATCCAGTAAAATAAGTCAGATATTTTTGAAAAGTTTCATGTTGACTGTGTATTGGGATTGATACTGAATTAGAATGTACATATAAGTGTGAAAAACATGTAAAGGATATCTGCTCATCGGCCAGGAACAATAAATCTGAAAATTATTATTTAATTAAAGGAGTTTCAAAATGAATAAATTTTAATTAATTTTCGCGGAAAAATCTTCATTTCGTACGTCTTAGTATGATTAAAAGTTCTTTGTAGTCTTAAAAACGATCTTATAAAAGTAGATGTTTGCACCCCATAAAAGTACCATAAAAACATTTTAAAGAAATCAAATTTCATTTAATATTGCCTTTGATACATATGTTTATTTGCATGAAATGAAATTGGAAATCATCTGCGATATCCTTCAGTTACTGATATAACATGCATTTTACTCTTTATGCATTATATAAAAATTGAAGTGAAAGTTACGTAACGAGTCAAAATCGTGTGCTTCTTTTAAGATATCTATATCATAAAGCGAAAGATTTATGAAAATTATGAATATAGCGAAGATATGAAAACTATACTGCACTGTAAAGCAAGAAAAGATTGTACAATATAACAAGAGGCCCAAGGGCCTTAACGGTCACCTGAGTATAATACAACAATTTAGAGGATCCATAGAGTATAAAATGAACTGAAAGGTGAAGCTTTGTTGCCCAAAAGCAAGAAAAATAGGGTATTCAGGATCAACAAAATAATTAGTCTAGTGTTCCTTGCTTATCATAGCTATGTATTTAATTTGTTTAAATAATACCCAGGAGTGGAGAAGAAGATTTTCAAAGAAAAAATGCACTTTCATTATATAATCTATATAGCCCCGCCCTAGCACCAGAACCACTGACCCTGGGGCCATGAATTTAACAATTTTGGTAGAGTCACTCTTGCTTATCATAACTATGTATTTAATTTGTTTAAATAATACCCAGGAGTAGAAAAGAGGATTTTCAAAGAAATAATGCACTTTCACTATATGATCTATATAGCCCCGCCCTAACACCAGAACCCCTGACCCTGGGGTTATGAATTTCACAATTTTGGTAGAGTCACTCTTGCTTATCATAACTATGTATATTTAATTTGTTTAAATAATACCCAGGAGTAGAGAAGAAGATTTTCAAAGAAATAATACACTTTCATTATATGACCTATATAGTCCCACCCTAGCACCGGAACCCCTGACCCTGGGGTCATGAATTTCACAATTTTGGTAGAGTCACCCTTGCTTATCATAACTATGTATTCAATTTCTTTCAATACTACCCAGGAGAACAGAAGAAGATTTTTTAAGAAATAATGCACTTTCACTATATGATCTATATAGCCCCGCCCTAGCACCAGAACCCCTGACCCTGGGGCCATGAATTTCACAATTTTGGTAGAGTCACCCTTGCTTATAATAACTATGTATTCAATTTGTTTCAATAATACCCAGGAGTAGAGAAGAAGCTTTTTAAAGAAATAATGCACTTTCACTGTATGATCTATATAGCCCCGCCCTAGCACCAGATCCCCTGACCCTGGGGCCATGAATTTCACAATTTTGGTAGAGTCACCCTTGTTTATCATAACTATGTATTCAATTTGTTTCAATAATACCCAGGAGTAAAGAAGAAGATTTTCAAAGAAATAATGCACTTTCACTATATGATCTATATATCCCCGCCCTAGCACCAGAACCCCTGACCCTGGGGCTATGAATTTCACTATTTCGGTAGAGTCACTCTTGCTTATCATAACTATGTATTCATTTTGTTTCAATAATACCCAGGAGTAAAGAAGAAGATTTTCAAAGAAATAATGCACTTTCACTATATGATCTATATAGTCCCGCCCTAGCACCAGAACCCCTGACCCTGGGGCCATGAATTTCACAATTTCGGTAGAGTCACTCTTGCTTATAATAACTATATATTTAATTTGTTTCAATAATACCCAGGAGTAGAGAAGAAGATTTTCAAAGAAATAATGCACTTTCACTATATGATCTATATAGCCCCGCCCTAGCACCAGAACCCCTGACCCTGGGGCCATGAATTTCACAATTTTGGTAGAGGGCTCAATGCTTATTACAATCATGCCAACAGTTTGACTGCTTGATGTCCAGGAGTAAAGAAGAAGATTTTTAAAGATTGCATTAATTTTGATGGTTTTGGCCCCACCCCTCAGGCCCCAGGGGGGCAGGGGCCACGAATTTCACAATTTTTGTTCCCCTTCACCCATAGATGCTATATGCCAAAATTGGTTTAAATTGGTTTGCTGGTTCCAGAGAAGAAGCTGAAAATGTTCAAAAGTTTACGAACGACGGACGACGCACGACGACGGACGAAAAGAGATAGCAATAGGTCACCTGAGTGACTCAGGTGACCTAAAAACCGGAAAACCAAAGATTGTGTCTAGACCGTTTCGTTGTTATCGTAAATGTCAAGGTCACGCCACTTTTATTTCTAGCGTAAACTTGTAAACAACATTTGAAGATTGGATCAAAATTCTTGGTCTACCGACATTCATTTTTTGGTACTTGAGACTATGGTAACTTCTTCAACTTTTCTGCGCACGCGTACAATAAGGGGAAAGAAGTAAAGCAATATTTTCGTGTTGGGCAATACAAATATTTTTTTTTCTACATAAAAGTAGACTTTTTAAGTTTCGAAACCTGTAATTTTCTGAAACCTTATACATTTAGGAATTGAAAAAAATTGCACGGGTCATGCAAAAATTCAATGTTTGTCAATTTTTCCGTTTGTGCGTCACGGTGTCGCTTTATTAGAAGAACTAAAATACTGCATAAGTTAAAAAATGCAATTTTTCCGAATGCCTGAATATGTAAAGTTTTTAGCTGATCAAGTTTCAATTAAAAATGTAAAATTGGTACTTTTTGAGATTTTAAAAAAAAAAGAGTATATTCACATAAATTTGTGAATTCAGTGACGTTTTCGTAAGCATTTTAATTACTTAACTGTTGATTTGTAGAGTAGAAATATTCATAAGTCTATAATATTTATTTGTTGTAATGGTTTGAGTGACCTATGCATGTTTTTTAAACAGATGTTCTCAGCTACGCACACCTGGAAAGACATGGAAAGGCTGGCAGATGGCCGATCCTTATGCGTCGCCTTTAAGAATGCAACCTATGCATCATTTGTTTTGGAGTTGAATATAAAGTCCCATACAATATGTGAAGTGTATGGTATCTATGGAAACACAGGCTACCCAACTAAAACTAAACGTGACTTGGTCGTAAAGACAAAAGGAATCAATAAAATTCTCCAATTCAGTCCCTATGGGCTTCCCTTGAACTTTGCAAACCAGATACTTCAGATTACAATACATAATACAAGGTATGCCAACAGAGGATATATGGACCCCCTCGTTTTAACATTAAAGTGTGCAGGTAAGAACATTAATTTTGTTTTATTCATACACGCTGACCAAAGCATGAAATATTGAACAAGGTGAACCCACAATTTAAATTCATTTATTGCCAGAAACAATTAAGTTTTTCAACCTTTGAATTTGATAGAGCATCTAGGGCTGTATCAAATGTATAACTTGTCGAAATGCTCATCTGGTGCATCAAAATTGGTACCGTATATGATTTACACAATTAACCAAGGCTGTTTCTTCAATTGTGCATTTCTACAAACAGTTAAGAGTTCATCAAAGGCAAAGTGAAGTGACCTTAGAAAATATGAAGAAAAATTAGTATTCTTTTATACATATATAATTTCTCAGTTTCTAATCACCGCTATGAATATGGCCGGGGCATATACATGTAGTGTTTTTTATGTCCGTCTTCCGTCCATCTGTCCTTCCGTCTCAATCTGTATTCCTTCACACTTTGCGTTTAACTAAATCTCAAAGAAACTATACCAAGGTATTTTTATCAAATTCATATGCTGATACATACTGATGAGCGTTATTCAAATGTATGAACATTTTTTGGCCTTGGCACTCCCTTTGACCTTGACCTCACATTTTTTTAACATTTGTGTTTAGCACAGTTTCATAAAAACTATTAAAGTAATTTTCATCAAACCTTATATACTAATACAAATTGATGAGAGCTATTCAACTGCATCAACAATTTTTGACATTGATCTATCCTTTGACCTTGAACTCACTTTTCAAAAAAATGTGTTTTGAGCTCAATTTTAAAGAATTAAACCTTATAAGTAGATGCATATTGATGACAACTATTCAACTGCATCAATAATTTTTTCACCTCGGCCTTTCCTTTGATCTTGAAGTCATCATTTCACAAGTTTTATGGTAGATATAATGACCTTGCTAGTAAATACAGCCTATTATTGAGTCAAATACTGCCATTATTTACATACTGAAGTGTCTAGGGATTTTTCCGTTTTTTGTTTTCGATCATGACAAGGAGAACACGGCGGGTGTGACCGGTCTGCAGGGGATGCTCATTCCTGATCCCACCTCTGATGTTTTTAGAGGTCTCGATTTGTATTGTCTAAATGGACTATTTGTTATCTCCATATTTCACTTGAACTCACTTTCTCTAAATTATGCGTTATCGTCAGTTCTACAAAATCAGTTTTTATTTAATCAAATTTCATATGCAGGTGCATTTTGGTGAGTGCTATTGACCTGCATCAATATTCTTTACCTTGACCTTCCCTTTAATCCTGGCCTCTCTTTTCTTGAATTTGCATTAAATTTCAAAGAAACTTTTCAAGAAGTTTTTATGCAAACTTATCCACTGATGCATAATTTGGTGAGAATTTATCAACTGTGTCCAGTTCTTTTTTTTACCTTGGCCTTCTCAAAGACCTTTGATTTTACTATTTATTGAGTCTAAAGCTCAGTTCTAAAGAAACAATTCAAGATAATTTCATCAAACTTCATACACTAATCAAATTTTCATGTTGCATTATATTAATGAACCCTGGGCAGGGCATTCATGTCCTTTAGACATTTGTGGATACGTTAAAGGATTAAGTACTATATTTTCCCCACACTTTTTTCCAATTTCAACTTTGTGTGATATATACAAATTGAGTTTAGGCTAATTTACTTAGATCCTTCTTATGTTCTCAAAGGCAATCTATTCTCTTATCTATATTCAACACCATTTGACTTTGGGAACTCCAATTATCAAAAAAATGAAAGCTAAGAGCTTTCTCGATATGATGCAAGGTTTTTACCATTGTTATGTAAACTTGCATTATCAGCAAACATATCTTTATCTGTAGTATGAATATTACCAATTACTTTTCTTTCGTTATATAATAGATGATGTAGCAAAACGAAAGAAAAGACAAGGTAGGACTATTCCCTCACCATACAACTCCTATTTCTTAAAATATATTTCCAAGTGATAATGACAAATATGATAACTTCATGTAATTTTCCTGTTATTTGACATCTAATTATATGCTTTCAGTTTAAAAATAATTTGCAATTAGTAGTAGAACTATGTCTTTTCCTTTTATTATGGTTATTGGATTATTTACCCATAACTCAGTTTGGCTTTTATTTTCATTCTTGTGATTCTTGTGATTTAAAAAAAAGATTTCACTCCTAATAACAATGTTATCTTTGGGATCCCATCTTTTTTTCAAATTTTTGTTTTGGGTCCCTAGCTGTTCCATTGTACCATTGTACCGTTGAGGTTTGAAAAAATAAATCATTTCATGGTTTTAAAATTTACATCGCGATAAAAGATTTCAAATAATACCTTATTCCTTAACCATATGCAGCATACTGCATACATGCACATTTTAAGATTGTTTCACCCACGACTGGCAGTTTACACTTGATATGGAGTAAAAAATAAATTACGAGATAATAATTTAAATAACATGATAATAAAGGGTATAACTACGACTTTTTCTCTCTTTGAGCAGTTCCTTCAAATATCCATCAATTTCGACTACAGGAAATTTCGCTGTCACAGCTGGATGGTGTATTATGGAAAGATCCTAAAGATGCAAAGGTTATGTACTTAAAGACAACAACTGGCTATGTGTTTTGTTAGTTAAAAGACGTTTTTATAAATCCCTTTTAATATCTTGGGAAGAGTTCTTGTTGCAGACACTAAATCACAAGGCATTTCAAGTGTTTGAAAAAAAATTATTTGATCATTTATTTGTCTACTTATAGATTTCCAAAGCAGAAGGTAGCCATATCAAATTTAAAAGCACCTTTTTCGGGACATTTGCATCAAATACATTATTTATTCCACCAACGGAGATTAATTTTGAGGCCATATTTCTGAACTTTTTTGAGCGTCTTAGGCAAACTCCCCATGTGCTTGTTATCTATGTGATTTTATTTACGGTGGCTGTTAATTTGACTTTAATTCTCAGAAAAGTGGACAAAAAGGATCATCTGATTGTAAGTAAAGAGGAATTATCACATATCAGTCCTTGATTCTTAACATTTTCACTTGTTTATGTTCAATTTTATTATTTATGTCTTTTTGACACTTAATGTAAGTTTAATGATCTTTTGCATTTACATTTTACCCGTAAACTTCTTATGTCATTTGATATTTTAATAAGACATATGGAAATAACGAACAGCAATCAAGCTCAAAAGTCCTTGAAACAATAGAAATCGGGAGCAGAGCAAACACGGACCTTTTAAAAAACATCAGAGGTGGGACTAGGTGCCTTGGAGGAGTATGCATCACTGTCGACCGGTAACACCCTCGTGTGCTCATTGTCTTGATTGGGCAAACGGAATAAAATTCGTAAACAATTCAGTATGTAAATGATGACCTAACAATTAGAATGAAAAACGCCAGTCAGCATTTTACTTAATGATAAATTGTATTTCCTGACAAGGGTCTCATTGTATTGACCATAGAACTTGCGAAATAATGAATTTAAACGAGACTGTTGATATCCTTATTTCATCAACTTGTTTGTCAATAGCTTGCCTCGTTTTAGAAAATGTTCGCACGTAAAGCATGCTCCTGAGTATCGAATCAAGTGGGAGATATAAACCCAATATGCGGGTGATAAAGGTATATTGCTTCATGAGTAAGGGAAGTTGACGATAGGAAAATTAAAGTCATCACGTTTATCATGAAGTTTTGTTGTTTGTTACCATTAACGTCTTGTTCTATTGAAATATCCAAATATGAAACAGATGTGTCAGACTCTATGGTATCTGTTATTTCAAATTCACTGGGATATATGGAATCGATATATGAATTGAAGTAACTATTTTAAATTATAATATAATATCTAAATGTCGAGTTGAAGGCCAAAGCAAGTGTCTTCTTCTCATGTATGTATAAGTTTTTGAATAAATTCTGCTTCATATGAATACAGTCGCTCGCATGGCGCAGTGATAAGAGCGTCTATTCTAGAGACGCGCAGTAAGGAGCTGATCCTTACGTTACGGGTTCGAATCCACTGCGGGACATGGAGACCGGTCCTTCGGATGAAAGCGTATAAACCGAGGTCCCGTGTCGCAGTGGATGTTGGCACGAAAAAGATTCCTCTTTGTTCAATGAATGGCCCTGAGTGCCGAGTATAGGTATAAATTTGCAGCTCCCCACCGGCAAGTGGTGGCGTCTCCATATGAGTGAAAAATTCTCGAGAAGGACGTTAAACAACATTTAAATAAATATATGAATATAAAGATAGGTTTGCAAATAAAGGGGTGCAATTGGGACCCATGAGAATTTCGACAGATTGTCGGAAGATCTTGTCTCCAAAAACTACATAGATATTGTCAATCAGAAATGAATTTCTGAAAGTTTGAAGATAGTTTATGCATGCTTATAATGAACTTGAAGATACAATTACAGACATTGACTGATAACTAGAATTATCATAAGATTGTAACATTTTCGCTACAATATTATTAACAGTGGGATTACCTGCCATTGGCTGACAATAAGCAACACGATTCCTTTAGATACACAATTTCTGTGTTCACTGCCATCAGGTCATCAAATGTACTTACGTCCACCCCATATTTTGTTCTCGAGGGATCGAAAGGGTCCACTGGAAACCGTATTCTTTTTGATGAACAACGCGAGGTATCGTATTGCATATTCCTATGTATACATATTTTTAAGCTTAAGTTTATCAGATAGTTTCTTGAAGTATGTTATACAGTAAAATACGAGGATAGAGAACACCAGTATAATGAATTGAAGTTTTTTTCATTCCCCGGGACTTTAAAGCAAATTGTGAACTTAAATGATAAAATGAATTACGTTCTAACGAAGTAAAATCGCCCGTCCTTGGCACTTCGTTATAAGCATGTTTTACTGTATTTTGATAAATTGATAGTTGATAGGTCTTCAGTTTATAATACATTTCTAGAAAACTTCCTTCTGAATACAAATACAAATAAAGTCATATTATACTTACGTATATATACTTTTTATAGAACTTTAAAGGCGGTACATGCAGTAATTTTATCATGACAACAGCGGTGGATTTGGGGAAACTTAATAAATTAACAATGTGGACTGACAACAAGGGATCCTCGCCGGATTGGAAATTATCAAAAGTGGTTGTGGTAGATCTTTCCACAAGGGAGGGGTACATAAATTATAATTTTACAATTTAAATGACTATTGAAACATAGAAAAAAAGTATTTAGCTCAAAAATGCTTTGAGTAAATTGGGCGAATTACTTTCAAAAACAGTGTTGTTTGCATTTTTCAGCGATAAATTTTCGAGTTTTCAGTACTTCAAATATAATGTTGTCGCAAGAAAAAAAATTTATCAGGAAAAATGGTATTGCTCAAAGTTATAAATCACTCTTGTTAAAAGAAGTATGTTTTAAAATTGTTAAATTTTCTTTCATTGAAAAGGTATACTTTCCTTTGTGGTGACTGGATATCTCAAAAATATGGCAACTGTGAAACGTGGGTTGTTCTTCAACCGCTATCAAAGGACATTTTCCTGCGGGAAACCATCTTCAGAGAAACAACAAGGAAGGGATTTTTTGATGATCACCTCTGGTTTTCTATCTCAAAACGCCCACATTACAGCCACTTTACCAGGGTTCAAAGACTTTGGACTCTAATGGCTCTTCTGTTCCTCTCAATGGTCGCTTCTGCGATGTGGTTCAATCAAGAACCATCAAAGGAAGACCAGGATCCTGATACAGTCAGTGCTATTAGAACTGTTCAGTTGGGCCCGTTTGAATTAAGCTACAAACAGCTGTATGTAGGGTTCATGTCTGCTCTAATTACATTTCTTCCATCAATGCTCATTGTTTTTATTTTTAAAAACAGAGGACCCAAAAATAAAATGGTAACCAGTTCAGAGATCAAAGGAAAACCAAATCATTTGACTAAATGTGAAACTCGAAAATTACTTCCTTGGTGGAGTATGTTTTTTGCGTATGCTTTAATTGTTCTTTGCATATCTACTGGCGGAACATTTACATTCCTATACTCATTAGAGTTTGGCACTCAGAAAACAAATGATTGGCTATTGTCATTTGTGTTTGGAACAATTCTAGGTGTCCTTATTCTAGAGCCCGTAAAGGTATGATTATTCCAATCTGTTCTCTTTTATATTTTTGATAAATAATCTTATTTTCCTTGTAACTTATTATTTTGATAATTTTTCTTCTAGGTTTTAATTTTCGCCTTTCTTGTTGCATGCTGTCTGCAAAGATCCACAGAAACGCTCGCAGATCTGGGCGATCCATTTAAAGATATAAGTGTGTACATTTCCACTTCGAATGTTATAATATTTTCAAATTTTCGATATTGTCTACGTAAATGTTCCTGTTTATGTAGATATTATTCCAAAGAGATATGAATAATTTGCACCTTATTGACAAAAGCATCAGACTGCAAAGAGAAAATGTTACTTAAATTTGTATTTTAGAGTACCATTTAGAGGAGAGAGGAGGCATGTTGGAAACAAAAGCATTCTACTATCCATGCCCAAGTATTAAAGCAAATTCTTTCAGGAACCAACTCAAAAAGAAAAGATTTAAACTGGATAATGAACTATCCACCTACTTTAAGTCATCACTTCTGTGCATATTGTATATATTACTACTTGCTATGATCTGCTCACATGTCGTCATAACGAAAGCATTTCGCCAAAACGAGGCTATGAAGATTTCCATTAACAACAGTTTTTTGGTAAAAGTATACTGATTTTTTTTTGTTTCATAAGAAACGTATTCAATTACTTCACATGAATGTCTTGATTTAGAGCGCTAGCTTTTTAGAATGAAGCAGAAATTAATTATTGTATGTTTACCAATATAAATACCGGCATTATTGAAAGTATTGTATTTTTTTTTTCGTAAGAGAGGTAGACCTTTTTCTTTTGGCAATAACTAATCTTGACCGAATTGTTTAAAGTACTTAAAACGCCTTTACGGTGGTTGATGCCCTCTTCGTCAATCTTTAAAGAATTTTTCAATTTATCAAACACCGTCTTGTCCTTAATTGTTAAACTATAATTTTGCTAATTTTATTTTACCTTTCAATTTTCAACATTTTTACTGTGGATCTGTTATGATTAAATTCAGGCTAACACAACTGATGATATCTGGAAATGGTTGCAGAATCATTATATCCCTGCTCTGTGGACAAAATATTTTTTCAATGGTGATTTGAGGACAGCTTATGAACAAAGATTTACATATGACGGGTACAATTACAGAATGTCCTTGATCCAACTCAGACAAGTTCGTTCCTATGGTATTTACCCTGTATTTACTTATATAAAAAACTACTATCCGATTATAAGCTTTAAAAGTATCTTCACTTCCCTTTTTAGAAAATTATCCACTGAACATTTATTCAGTTTTGCTATAAGATACTCCTTCATGGATATTTGAAGTAACGTATTTTTGTCCGTCTCCTTTCCAAAACATGGAATCAATAGTTTTTGTCGTATTGTGTTGAGATATAGTTTGATCTTTCAAAATTATGAAAATATATATCAACATTTTGACCAATTCATGCACTCTGTGTTTGGTTGTAGCAAGTGTCCGTAGTGTCCCCCGAAATACCTATCCAAAAGTCACTGTCTCGTTGCATTTTTGTCCTTTAAAAGTTGTTTATAAACATTCTACATGACATGTTCTCATTTATCTCGCAATGTAACTTACATTGAGCTGAATTTCATTATGCAGTTGTATGCAGTGAGGTTACGGACCGGATCCAGTTTTAGCTTTTGACAATAATAGTTTACTTTTAATTTAGAGCGTTACTGTTCTTTAACTTTATATACAAATTGTAATTACAGGTTGTTTAATCTTAATTTGTGTTTATGACCTGGATTTCATCATGAGTTACATTTGAGATCCTCAATCTGTTTACTTATATAAAATTTTACTTTAACAGTTTTATGCTAATGATTTTCTTACAGAAAGTTAATATGTAATTAAAATGCACACGGTGTCTGTACACTATGCTGCTATTTGAGAGAAATTTTCCTTTTAAGTTGGCAATTTGTTAAAGGAATAATTGTCATATATCCCAGTAAAAATTATCTCTCTACGTATGGAATTTTTCTCATTTATTACACCGATCACTAGGAGACGACTACTCCGCCTTGGCATCTGATCCCACCTCTGGTGTTTTAGGGCTTCGTTTCTCCATTTTGGATTATTTATAGGATTAATCATGTTGATCATTATACTTCATCTTCACCATTTGCACTCTGTCCCATTTCATCTATAATTACGGTCTCTTCCCATTTGCAGTATTCGGGACATTTTAGTCTTGTTAACAAATTTAGTTTCTATTTTTATCATTGATATATTCTTTTCTGTATTTGTAAGGAAATTGTACTGGTCCCAAAGTTGTTCAAAACGTCGTTAAAAAATGCACAAACAGCTATGATAACGAAGCAGATCCAATTTACTACTTCTGCCCAGGTGAGGAATATCATTTTCATCCATTTGTGGAAATTTTACCAAGTAATTTATGGAGTTTAAAAATCTTCTGTCAGAATAATTTTTTGTATATGTATAATTTTATTCATTGGAAATGCTTATCTATTTCTGTAGGCTCGGCAAATTTTTTAAATGAAATCAAATTGATGGGATATTTCATGGAGTCTGCAGAAGTTTGTCAAATTGTTACGATATCTATATCTATATATATATATATATATATATATATATATATATATATATATATATATATATATATATATATATATATATATTATTTATTCCTGTAGGTTGGGCAAATTTCAACTCCTTTTGTTTTAATGAAAACGAATTGACAGACTATAGTTTCCACTATAAGTCTTCATATGAATTAAACTCATTTCCATTTTTTGGAAAATATGCATATTACGGTGGAGGAGGATACCAAATGCAGCTGGGTCCAAAGCAATCCTTGGTTATGAAGCATATTAATGAGCTGAAATCTAAATCCTGGATAGACGGAAATACCCGTGCAATATTTATAGACTCGAACACTTTCAATGCTAACAGTAAACTATTCACACATTTGAAAGTCGTCTTTGAGATTTCTGAGTATGGAGCTATTACAATGTCAACAATATCTAAGTCTTCTAATTTATATCCATACGTGTATGCATTGGATTATATCATTCTTTGTCTCCAGATAGTCTTTGTGATCATAATCGTGGTTAAGATAATTCTATTTGGAATTAATGCCTTTAAATTGAAGTGGAAATGTTTTGTGACCTTTGGTATGTGGATAACCTTAGCAGAAATAATTCTTGCATTATTGGCTATTGTCTACTTCATTATTCGAGTAGACAAGACTATCAAAGCAGTGGAAGACATTAATAACAGTAACGGTAAGACTCTTCATTTTTACACATCTCGCACCATTTTATTACAAAGATTTGAATTGCTTTCTTTTCATTGTCTTATGTCAATTACATGCATTTTCATTTCTATTAATTTCAAGATTATCTTCTGTCGAGAAAACTAAAGAAAACAACAAAATTATACCAGTATACAATATTTTGTCTGTAAGAACCCCAGATAATGATTTATTTTAATCATTAATTAAATATAAAGAGCCAATACATGGAATTGCATTTTTACAGGTGATTTTGTATCATTTGAGGAAGTGGAAATATGCGACGAAATGTACCGGTTATTTATAGGTGGGGTATTCTTTATTGTTATTCTCCGGCTATTGCAACCTTTAGCTTTCAACTACCACCTTTTTGTCCTTACAAAATCTTTGGAAAAAGCTAGGGCAGATTTAGTGTCCTACGTTATACTGTTTTCAATTTGCTTGGTGGCGTTTGCCTCGTTCCTTCATTTGACCGTAGGCAAGACAACTTCCGATTTTAAAAGTATTATCACTGCATTAAGGACATTGTTACAGATGCTACTGTCGATGATCTCCTTCCGGTTTAGTGTGGAAATGTCTTCTATGCAAGCACAAATTATTATCAGTTTGTTTGCTTTCACTGTTTCAATTATTGGAATCAACATTTTTATTGGCATCCTAACCTGGACCTTTTTCTTTGTCAAACTCTCGCAAACCAATAATGAAGCAACGCAGGAGTTACGTTTTAATCAGGAACTTAACGATCACTTCTGGTGGAGAATTAATCAATTATTGCAAAGATTGGTTTTCAACGAATGTGGTAAGTACCTTAGGCTTTATTAGATTTAGTTAATGTTTTTATTGAATTTTTTTGAGGGAAACAATAAATTTATGCATAATTTAGTGAATTGTTATGAATTAATGTTTGAACTTCTTTTATTCTAGCAAAGATTAAATCCAAAGATGTCATCAGTACGGTATGTATCAATTTAAACCATCCATAATGAATAGAGTAAATCAAACAGCTTTTATAGAAATAAACTGTTATCTCACAATTTTGATTATTGAGAAAAGGATTGGAATTTCAAAGGATACATATTATACATGAATATTTTATCTATTAATGGAGATCTCGTTCTATGTAAATCTTCATTTACTAATCATTCAGCTCTCTTAACATTGATGTACGCATATTACAGAGGATAGCGAAGACGATTGAAAGCATAGATCAAAGGCTTAATGATATTCTGATGGAAGAAATAGAATGGACATTCTATACGTTAGCAATGATGTTAATTTGCAAGAAAGAAAACTGCGGGAAAGAAAGCATAGGGAATCCCCTTATATGTTGTGTAGCCGCACAAAACAACAACATTCAATACAGGTCAGGAAAAATGTCATGGATAATTTTTTTTTTTCAAAACAAAAAAGTAAAAACACCACTTATTCAGAAAATATTCAAACATTCTTCATCTACTTGTTACTCTTTACTTTATTTCCCAAAATTGATAATAACTTTTCCAGATTTCTTGCCCATGCATCGAAATTGACAAAAATAGTTCTTAATCTCTCGTACGTGAGACCCGGAGATGCCCCGGAAATCGTCTGTCATCAAGTCCCACTTTCAAATTTCACAGTCAGTGGTATCAGCATTCCGTACAGCCATCGCGCGAAGACTGATGTGTTTGAGTTCATTACAAAGTTTCAAGGAACAAAGGTAGCAGAGTGAGAACTTTATTTTTTTTAAAATGTACTTGTCCATGTAAATGGTGAAACAAAACCAAAATGTTTCTGTCTTATCTAAAAAAAAAAAATGTTAAAATCCGAAAGTTTTTCTTCATTGTGAAAATTTCAGAATAAAGCCAGAATAACGTTTAAATGTGGAAGCATCAAGGCTGAAGATTTCGTTCAGTATAGCTATAATAACATGAGAACATGGCAAACGAAGCTCTTACATGAGGTTGTATTTTAATAAACTTACTCTATTAAATTCAATATATTGAAATAAATATTTATGCAACAGAAATATAATTCATGAATGATTAATACATTAATTTCTCATTTAACAATTGTAGTAATGTATACTTTCTTTCTTTGTCAATAGGAAAGGTTACCATTTTTCTTTACCCTTAAATTTGTTTCCAGATGGAATCCTTGGGTGTCTTTTCCTGTACTTTCTCCACCATTCCCACTCACTGTTTCGTGATACATCGACAGGAAACCTTTAAATTGGACATTGGAAAACTGTATAAATTTCCAGATCTAGAACGTTATCAGCTTCTGAAATCTGGCCAGTGTATTCGACTTCGCTCAGATGACAGAATAAATATTACTATTTCGCCAAATGCTATACAGGAAAAAGGAGATATCATTATCTTGGTGCAGTTCAAAGTTTCTCCAAGACTGAGTTTTGTTGATACAGTTCTTAGTGTGTTTGTTTTAATATCCTTTGTCTTTTACAGGTAGAGAAACACTTTGCAGCAATATGTCCAATATTACAACTCTATTCTACAAGAAAAATAAATGGCAATATAAGAATCTTTTTGCCATTAAATTATCTGCCCGGGATAACTTTACGGAATGGTATGCATTTGACAAGTAGATTTATAATCTGCTAGTATCGACAGTAATATAGTTTTACAATGCAGTAACTGAGGCAGTGAAAATTGATTTTTGTTCATCTCATTTTAACTAATTTTTCTTTTTGGAAATCTTTCGATAAGAATTTTGAATACGACTTAGGACAAAGTCAACAGCATAGTTAACTTTGAATTATTGTCGCTGAAACGCACCAAAATATGCAATAAAAACTGTTAAGGATAGGATATTAATTTTTTTAATTCAATATCTCACTTAGAATACTACAATGATCCATGGTCTATTTTACGGTAGGACATTTGAGATAAAAAACATTGAGGTAAATATGTGTTACATTAATGTGAAGATAACGAACAGTGATCAATCTCACCAATCTAGTAAACAAAACAAATCGTTAACAGTGATCAATCTCACCAATCTAGTAAACAAAACAAATCGTTAACAGTGATCAATCTCACCAATCCAGTAAACAAAACAAATCGTTAACAGGACAAAAACACGAACAGTGATCAATCTCACCAATCCCGTAAACAAAACAAATCGTTAACAGGACAAAAACACGAACAGTTATCAATCTCACCAATCCCGTAAACAAAACAAATCGTTAACAGGACAAAAACACGAACAGTGATCAATCTCACAAATCCCGTAAACAAAACGAATCGTTAACAGGACAAAAACACGAACAGTGATCAATCTCACAAATCCAGTAAACAAAACGAATCGTTAACAGTGATCAATCTCACCAATCTAGTAAACAAAACGAATCGTTAACAGTGATCAATCTCACCAATCCAGTAAAAAAAACAAATCGTTAACAGTGATCAATCTCACCAATCTAGTAAACAAAACGAATCATTAACAGTGATCAATCTCACCAATCTAGTAAACAAAACGAATCGTTAACAGTGATCAATCTCACCAATCTAGTAAACAAAACGAATCGTTAACAGTGATCAATCTCACCAATCCAGTAAACAAAACGAATCGTTAACAGTGATCAATCTCACCAATCCAGTAAACAAAACGAATCGTTAACAGGACAAAAACACGAACAGTGATCAATCTCACCAATCCAGTAAACAAAACGAATCGTTAACAGTGATCAATCTCACCAATCCAGTAAACAAAACGAATCGTTAACAGGACAAAAACACGAACAGTGATCAATCTCACCAATCCAGTAAACAAAACGAATCGTTAACAGGACAAAAAGACGAACAGTGATCAATCTCACAAATCCAGTAAACAAAACGAATCGTTAACAGGACAAAAACACGAACAGTGATCAATCTCACAAATCCAGTAAACAAAACAAATCGTTAACAGGACAAAAACGCGGACCCCTGGAAACACCAGAGGTGGGATGAGGGACCAAGGAAGAGTAGGTCAGTCAAAATACAACCCAACAATAGGTTGTCGATGTAAACAAAAGCATAACTACCATGAAATTGGTGAAATGTTGAATTTAAACAGAAAATTATTTGACTTTGTTACATCATCTTATCTATCAAAAGCTTGCATCTGCTAAAAAAAAATTGATCGTACTCAGGACATGTTTTTGAGTATTGACTGTTTGAAGCCTTAAACACCATATGTAGATGACGGTGGAATATAACTGCATAAAAAAGGAAAAGTTGACTGTGGAAAAGCTGAATTCATTCTGTTTGTCAAATAGTCAAGTTACTAGGCCATCATTAAAAATATCTTTGTTTCCCCTAACCCGACCCTAAAATTTCAAGATGAGTAGGTAGGTAGGTAAATTATTTTTTTTCTGACAGCAGTTTTGAAAATACATTCTGAAAATTGAATAATATCTCTATAGATAAGAAAGAACAAAAGAAACCGATTTTTAAACCGAATATCATACAAATGAAATTTAAAAGCAGCTTGTATGGTAAATTAATTCACAAATACTATTCATTTGAACTTGTGAAATATCTCAGGCCAGCGTAAATTTATTGAAATTGAATTTTTACAAAAAAACAAGATTCGCAAATACTCAACCATTGGCCATCCGAGTATATTTTTTTCAAACCTACTATCATCTTCGAGTGCTTACACAGATAAAATGTCAAGGGCCTTGCGTGGCGAAGTAATTCTAGTGTTTCGTTTTGAAGTCACGACGTAATTCAGGAGCTTATTCTAAGTCACAGGTCCCGACGTGGGGCGTGGAAACTAGTCAGTCAAATGAGACCGTAAAAACGTAGGACCATGCATGCAGTGTCACAGTATACATGTAGATGTTGGCACGATAAAGATCCCTTATTGATGCTTTATGATCAATGGCCATAAGTGCCGAGAAAAAGTCTAAATTAGGAGCCCTCCACCAGGAAGGTGTTCAAATGTTGTCGACCCAGCAATTTTTAAAGGCCCAACCTATTTTCAAGGGCCCAACTAAAGAAAAGAAAAATACACTGGACGTCTCAGGAAGCCGTACCATAAGCCAACTTTAAAGATTTCAACACTATTTGAAAAGAGAGTACATGTACCTGTATAAACAATATTTAATTCAACCAAACCATATTTAAAATGATTAAAGTTTCATATATCTAATGTTATAGTCACGAAGTTTACCCCATAAATAAAAGGAATGAAGAAACGACATCCGAATTATATTCATCAAGATGAAATAATTATACAAAGATATATTTACAAATCATATGGTCCTATATAGTAAAAATACATTAAATCATACATGAAGTGTTTTTTAGATCGCAAAGAATGAGATGGAGTGAAATTTATTGATATGCATACACAAATTAGGCCCCTCTTCTGCTCATGAGTCAGGCTTTGTCATGCTTACTACGTAAGTTAATTTTAGAAGACACATTTGTAAATACCATCTTAACACTCCTTAGTCATGGTATATTTAATTCACGAAATGTTTCAAGAGTGTAGGATTCTAATAAGTTAAAGATGTATATTAAGATTGATACATCGCCGTTGTTTTATAACACTAAATAACCTTCTGTGGCCACATGTTGTGGGCGCCAAATGATAGTAAAACAAAAGCCGCCGTTCTGATAAAAATCGAATTTTGATGAAATTGTGTTTTATAAAGTTGATAAACAATAAAAATAAATATTTGAATAATCTTATTAAAAAAAACTTTTCAGTCGTCACGATTTAAGTGGGTCGGTCGCGTTAGGGGAAACAAACCTATTTTTTATTTTGGCCCTAGATGGCCACATCCAAATATAAAGCAGTTGTGGGAGACTCTTTGGTGTCATTTATTTCCAGTTCACTGGTATATATTGGGTTGACATATGAATGAAAAGAACTATTGTTTATTGATTCAACTTCGTCTGTTTATTGAAATGTTTAGTTTAAAGCCACGGCAAGAGTATTCTTTATGTGCCTATTGATGGTAGACGATGACACACAATGAGGTGTAATGAGGTATAAATGTACCAGAATGATCCAATGTAGTTCTATGCTTGAATGTTGAACACTTTATTTGATGACAAAAAAAAAAATCCGTGTCTTTTCTCAGACCAAGGAATAAGAAACCTTTCAAAGAATAATTTATCAAAGTTTACATCAATGTACAGTGACTGCTTCAACTTTAGTTTTGTAAAATATATTGATTTACATTCATACTAAGTTTATACTATCAGGGAAAGAAAGAATCATTCGCTTATTATAATCAGTAACCCATTTTACGAATCATATTTTCTATCTGAAGTCTAATAATGATTCAACATGTCCAAGTTTTAACCCTCCATTGCTTTAAAATTCTCTGCAAGTTTTGGTTCTTACCAATGGAACAATTAAATTTTCAGTTAGTTTTCCAGATCTATTATCTCAATGTTCTTAATTGTGTTTAATGAATTATTAATAGTTAAATATCATTGTTCTCATTTCTGTAAGATGTCTATAAAGGAGACAAAAGAAATCGATCCTTCTTAAACTGAAATCTCATTTAAATAGCGATTTACTTTTCAAAACTACTATGGTTGTGAATTAGATCTGTTTCAACTTTTAGATCATGTTTTGGTTGATTGATAAAAACATGATAAATAAACTTGTTAACTTTTTTAAAGAATTTAATTATCCTCAATATTTATCGGCGAGATTTGTATTACTCAAAATGTGCATTTTTATAATTAGAAATTCTGCTCTGTGTTTTTCTTAGCAAGTTCGAACAAACAAAAGCTTTGTCAAATGACAGTGTCTTTTTAGGGGTAACGTGTGAACTTTGGGTGTTAATACGCGAGAGAAATGCAGACTGGAAAAAGATCCAATGTCAAGTAGTGTTGGACTTTGGCCGAGTTGTATTGTGTATAAATGGCATAAAAATGAAGTAAGATTTTAGTCATACATGTACCAACATTTATTTTAGTTTTAAATACTATTCATATCACCATTTTAGCACTTAAATGCATTCCGTAACCTTTTCGTTTTGTCCTTCAGAACACCTACTGCTATTTGTGTGAAGGAAGTTTTACTACCCTGGGTATGCAGATTAATAATTTTATTAATAAGATGATCACAGAAAGGTCGATCTCTTAGTTTTTGATCTATGAAGTCTAAATCTCTTTTTTTTTCTTTTTAGGGAGAATTTCCAGCTTCGACACAAGGTAGGATCATAGCTGACGCTTTATCTTTAACACATTAATCTGTTTTGTAAAAATAATAGTTTTCTATAGGAGTTTTCTGATTAAAAAGAAAAGAAATGTTTTTGTTGTAACAAGGATGCATAGTATTAAATATACCATATAAATGATTGATTGTATCTTAAAACAGATTCGAAATTTGTTCAAGAAATAATGTTGTTGAGTCAAAAAACGTGGTTTAATAGACACTGGCGAGACCTGGCCGAGAAATGCTCTGTGACCTTGACCTCAACGTTTGTAGAAGATCATAATCCCTTTTTTATTTCCGTTGAGAACCGGAAATACGTTTTTAACATGGACAGGTGCCTGTTCAGGCGAATCACCAAGCTCCCGTTTTCAGATGAGGAAAAATGTCTGATAATCTTATCCAGGTGGCTCAAAGGACTGAAGTCAAGGACCGGCGTGACATCATTGATCTCCTTGCTCAAAGAATACAATCTACCTTACTTACCAGGTATTTTGCATATATAAAATAGCTTTATAGAAAACATAAATCATATTATTAGAATTATTCTTTTGTTGGATATAAGAATGAAATTATAATTCAAATTTATTTTGAATTAATATATATTGAACAATGTTCACTGTTGATGAAGTACAAAATACAATCCAACAAACATTATATTCATTTTTTGAGAAGTAATTTCTGTCAATTACTTAAATTTATTTCAGATACCAGTATATAAGCTTCCCTCATCTATGGAATTCATTGAATGAAATGTTTGCTGTCGTAGATAAAGATCAGATACAGTTTATCTTGCGAAATGGAGACTTTGTTGCGAAATGAATTGAAAAGAGATTGTATTCTACGAAGGGATTTATATTATTAAGCATAACTGTTTAAATTATACAACTAATATCAGCATATTTTAATGGAAAATGTATAGGCTCTTCTGAAATCCTGGTGATCAAGACAAATAAAGCAGTATCGCTAACAGGAAGGAAGAAATTCGATTGAACCAGAGCAGAATTCGAACCCAGGCTCCCTGAACTCTTCGAGTTGTTTTCCTATGAACAAACCTGCATGACTGCCACAAAATAAATCTATTCAAGATAGTACTAATTAAAGTCGTTTTGCACAGCATTTCCAAACGATTTGCACGTATATAAACGTAACTGTCTATGTAACAACTAAGAAGTTAAGTACCTAATTGTTGAATTATCAATGAATACTGAAATTGAAGTCATACTGATTCCTCGGATAGAATAGTTTTCAGTGTCATTCATTTCACTTTGCAATGTTTTTCTGATACTCCTAAGTTTCATTGATTTATGTCATATATAAACATACATGCCAAATTGACGTTTCTGAATTATGACGGAGCAGATTCATTTAAGAGATGTAAATATGGGTGGTCACAAGCAAAGTTTTCTTTATTTCAAGCCTATAAAATATAATATGACAAAGTTTACATCCATTAAAACATTTCTACGATCTGGAGTATTATTTCATTAAAAATCAAAATAATAAAATTCATTAAGGTCTGACGACACTTTCCTCAAATATCTATTTTGTATCTCTTCATAATATATCACAAAATATTAATAATTGTCATTCTCTGGTGAATTCTAAACTATTTTCAAAATATCCTGAAAAATAGATACACCAAAAATTGTCATATTGGCATTTCAACCGATTTCTAATAGGGGTATATAGAAAGCATCTTTCTCTAATATCTTGCACAAATGTCTGGTAAGGTGCCTCAATTTCTTTTGTGAGGAAACATGTTAAAGTAGCAATACTTCAATGACAAACTCTTGGTAAAAATTAAGTATTATTGAGGAACGTGTCGTCTGACCTTAATATCACTTCATAAATGACAAATAAAAAACAAATGACGTGATATGCACACATTTTCGGATTTTAATTCGTATGTTATACTTTTTGGTGGATTGACAGATAATAAACTATATTTATTCCAAAACAAGCCTTCTATTTTATTTAATAGAGATTTACTTAGATTCTTGCCTGCTACATTTATGTTCTTCACTAAAAAGTGATATACTAATTAGTGTATCAATTAACTTCAAGAGAGAAATTCACTCTCATAGTAAGCTCTGGACAATGTTTATACAGCCACCAATAGTTTATCAGAGACACACAATGCATCCTACGAAAATCGTTACCTGCCTTAGATGCGTAAACAATGTTCATAATAAACAAAGAAAATGGATATCCTTTTTTGTAAATTAAACAATGAATCTTATGAAAGGACTTTCAGGTGAATTTTATTTGAATAAAGTTTGAAGTGCATTCAATGTCCATTATTTATTGAATGTGAGTGTATTTGTCGAGATGATTTTTCAATAATTATATTTTTATTCTATGGACTAAAACATTGATTTTATTCTTAAAAAACATAACTTTTCTTAATCAATTTGAATTGCAATTAATTTTAATGGATATGTAAAGTGTATTATAAATAATTAAAGTGATTATTTGCGTCATTCAGGAAGAATAGTAAGTGCTGAATTTTACATAATTAGTTTTCTTGACTTTATGCAGTAGCAATGGAATTCATCATAGCAAAAGATAAATGTGTAACAACCTGTTTATAAAAAAATTGTTGCAATGAACAATATACATGAACTACAAAGCAAGTCTATTATTTTTAAAATGTGTCCTATCTGTTACAAAATATTTTTAACAAAAGTGTTAGTAGGAACCTCAATGCCCCTTCTACCAATCCTTAGAAATGAGTCTGTGATGAATCAATATGTCTCGGATTTAAAGTTATAAAGTGCAGTGGTTATGAAAAAGAATAACAGTAAAGTAAAATCTTTGTAGTTTTTAGCTCTATTGGTCAGAGACCAGATGAGCTTTTGCGATAGTAAGCTTAAGGTGTCCGTCGTCCGTCCGTCTGTCTGTCTAGCTGTCCGTCTGTCTGTAAACAATTTTTTAAAACGCTACTGCTCGACAGTTTTGGTCTGATCTCAATATAACTTTGCACACAAGTGGAAAACTACACCAAGATACATAATTCAGTGCATCAGTTTCTGATTTTGATGAAAGGTTGCAATGATTATTAAAAATAGAAAATTATGTGAAAATAATTTAAAATGCTACTTCTCCTACAGTTTTGATCTGATTTCAATATTAATTCGCATACAAGTAGACTATACTGAGATTAATGATTTACTTCTTCGGTTTTTGATTTTGATAAAGAATGTTGCCATGGTTACTAAAAATATAAATTTATGTGAAATTCCTTTAAAATGCCACTCCTCCTACAGTTCTGGTCTGATTTCAATATAACTTGGCATACAAGTAGACTACACTTAGATACATCATTCTGTTCATAGGTTTTTGATTTTTTTTTAGAAGTGTTGCCATGGTTTCCAAAAATAGAGATTTCTGTGAAAGACTTTCAAAATGCTACTCCTCCTAAAGTTTTGTTCTTATCTCAGTATAATTTGGCACATAAGTAGACTAATCTGAGATACATTAGATAATTCTTTTATCGATTTATGGGATTTTTGTTGCCATGGTTTCTAAAAATATAAATTTCTGTGAAAGTTTTTCAAAATGCTACTTCTCCTACAGTTTTGATCTGATTTTAATATAACATTGCACACAAGTAGATCACACTGAGATACATAATTTTATATCAGTTTTTGATTTTGATGCACGGTCATGCCATGATAACTAAAAATAGAAATTTCTGTGAAATACGTCCGAAAGGCTACTACTCCAACAGTTTTTATCTGATTGCAATAAATCTTGCCACAAAGAGACTAAACCAAGGACCATTATTCTAGTTATTGCTGTTGCATACATGTAGTTTCAAGTGCAAGTGTCACCGTTCACGGTAGCTCAGTCGGTAGAGCGCTCGCTTCGTGATCGGGAGGTCGTGAGTTCGAATCTCGGCCGCGACTGACCTAAGTCGATAAAAAATGGGTAGCAACTGTTCCTTCGCCATGCACTCGGCACTTTGAAGTGAAAGTTGCGGGTCCTTCGGATGAGACCTTCAAAACCGAGGCCCCGTGTCACGGCAGGCGTTGGCACGATAAAGATCCCTCACTGCTCAATGGCCCTGAGTGCCGAGTAAAGGTCAAAATTTGAAGCCCTTCACCGGTATATGGTGACGTCTCTATATGAGTGAAAAATTCTCGAATGGGACGTAAAACAACATACAATCAATCAATCAATCAAGTGCAAGTGCTTCTTTTCTCTTCCTTTGTTATGAATATAAACCAGTAGAGCTACAGTCTCACAGAGACTTCTGGTTTTATCTTTTTAATATTTTTTTTCTACACTCCACACATATAATTCAATATTCAATCCATAAGATTCTCTTTCTAGGACTAATTCAAGAGAGGAATACTTTTCAATTCAATATTTTTATTCATTTTACAGCTACCTTAACATCGAATTCAATACATGTATTTGCTTTTAACAGTAGAATTATAAATCTAAATTTTGTCCCTTATCTATGGCAGAAATGCTCGTTAATGTAAGATGTAGACTAAACATAAATAACAAATCTGTTCTAGCGGAAGTACAAGTTAACAAGGAGATTATGCAATAACTACTAAGGTCTACCACGGTCGAATTCTTTCAACAAAAAAAGTCATTGTTCCGTATTGTTTTAAACATTGAACTAATAGCTTTTTGATGATTGAAAGGTTTTACTGCTCACTGTAATATTCACCACGATTTTAAAGAAGGTATGGTTTTGCAGAAAGAAGTTGATTGAAAAGAATCTTTTTGTACCAAAAAACGTAATGACTTGGAACCTTTGTACGTTTGATTCTTTATCCCCGTCATACATTCATGTGAATCTGACATTTGAGAAGTTGCAGTGTGATTTATTAGTTGCGGAATCGATAGAATGTCTCAATTTGAGCTAACAAAAAACTATATGGATTTAGTTATTATTTAAGTAAACATTTTAATTGCAATGCTTTCAATTTCAGGTTAATTTAGAAACATGAGTCCCGTGAAACGATAGGCTCACCTTAGTAGCACTTCTTTATTCTATGACATGAATCTTACATGTTTAGCTGTGTTCCGAATTGACAGACCATAGATTGTTATCATTTGATGACAAATGTGTTAAATAGTATTTAAGAAATGAATCTCTGCATATTGCTTTGAAAAATTGCTTTACGTTTGTTCATGGAATATAGGCGATTTTCCTGCAAATTTTAATCAACTTTTCTTCATCTGGAATACTTCCAAATAAACTTGTATTTCCATTTACTCTACATCAAACGTTAAATACGTTGAGTCCGATTGCACCGTCATCCATGAAGGTAAAATCGACTTACCATTCCTGATCTGTAATGAAATTATATAATTCGATAATTATCTCCCCATCATAAAAACATCTTTCCATATAAAACATGAAATTCCTTAGTTCTATCTCTAAATCTGAAGTTTGAACTAGAATTGAAAAAGATACACAGTTAAGGGGCGAGATGTCAGTCTATTTTGCTCAGGTTAACTAATAAGAGCAGAACATTTATTTAAATTCAAATCGATGTATTGCTTTCTCTTTGCGTTAACACTGGTATTTAAACTAAGTATTTCTTTGTTAATTGGACATGTGCTAAGTTTTTCCTTATACATAAGGTTTGTCGTTACACTTGATATATTGGTGTTTAACATTTCCATTTATTTCTGGGATTCGCTGATTCGCATTCAATCCTCCTGGATTATGGTAAGTAATTTTAAATGTAATTTAAAATAAACATGAAAATACAGAAAAGCAGATGTTAAACTAAGCAGATTTTTATTGTCCTTATTTAGCCTTTTGAAAAGATAAGTAGAAAAATTTAAAGGTGTTTATAAGATATAATTATTGCTGTTTGTTCAATCATAATTTGCGGAAAAATCATCGTTGTTGGAAAAAATATTTAAGAATTCAGCAACCTTGCTTAGGATGTAAAGGATTTTCGTCATTAGATAGATGCTGGTAAATATCATTTGCTACATTAATATTATTTTTAAAAAAAGGGTTGAACATTAACACTAGTCAGGCCCGTAGGAAGCAATTTTAGTTTGGGGGGCACAGTCATACATTTTCAGTTGAGGGGGCACTATCAACTACCAAAATTTCTTGACAAGCAAAAAAAAAAAAAAAAAGAAAAAAAAAAAAAAGCTCATCAGACGTTTTTATTGAGGGGGCATAAGCATATAGTATCTATGTTTTCTATAGTAATCTATATATCGGCAAAATTATTGGGGGGGGGGGGGGGCACGCCCCGGTTCCTACGGCCATGACTAGTATTGATGAGAAGACTGGGTACTTTCAGCATAATTGTAGGCACGTCCAATCTGTTAGTTGGGCACTATACGTTTTACATATTAGTATATATTTGGGATATCAAAATTAAACAGTATTGATTTATCCAATTTAAAAATATAATGCGCAGTGAACTTTATAGCCATTTTTTTTTCGATTTGATTCTATAGCATATCTGGAATTCTTTTCTTACCGAGGAATTTTCATATTTTTAATCAATTGCAAAATCATCGGATACTGATGAACTACAATATGAATCATATATATTATATATTCATTTTATATTTCATATTGTTGGAAGTGCTCCTAAGAAAAAATGGCTCTAACAATTTAAGACCTCAGATAATCGGAGCATCCCTTGGCGATGGTCAATATTTTAAAAGTACTATTTCTTTAGGGATCAATGTAGATTGAGACAAAATTCATTCTTCTGTCAGTAATTTCTAAAACATGAAAAATACATAATTATAGATCTTTAAAGATTTTTCTTGAGGGTTTATTTTATTTTTTGCTACAAAACTTCTTCAAACGCCAAAATTCGAGTTGTAATTGTAATGACACTATGATGTTCGGAAAATCTTATAAATTTTGATTTCGCTATCAATTTCATTATCAAAAGTTGCATATCAGTGCTTCTGTACGCTTTTTTTAAAAAATAAAATATTAACTGGTTAATTATTATTCAGTTTTGTTTACTCGCACACTCGTTACTCGGTAACCAACCAACACTCCCAGTTCCAAAAATTAAGTTGCTCAAAATCAATTTCATTATCACATATATTTAACATTCCAGTTAAAGGAAGTGAGTTTGATATACCGTATCTATACTGAACTACAAAACTTCATGAAAATCCGAACACATTGTTAGGCCGTTATTTTCACAGTAAATTATCTACATATTTTCCTATTTACCCGATCATGACAAGGGGCACACGGCGGATGTGACCGATCGACAGAGGATGCTTACTCCTCCATGACACCTGATCCCACCTTTGTTTTCAAAGGTCTGTGTTAGCTCTGCTCTTGTTTATGTGCACTTTGGAGAAGGATCACTGTTCGTAATCTTTCATTAAAATATATATATAGCGGAGCCCAGTAAATTTTTAACCTAGCTCCATTTTTCAGCTCATGGCGGGTTTGAACGGTCGACAGGGATGTTTACTCCTCCTGGGCATCTGATCCCACCTCTGATGTTTCCAGGAGCACTTGTTTTCTCCTGTTCACGATTGGTATTCTTTACTGGACTTACGGGATTGATCACTATTCTTGACTGTCTTCAACGTTAAAGCACATTAGTATCCAATGTATTAAACGGGGATAAAAAGCACAAAATTAGATTACAAAATGCGCATTTAAGATTACTACCGTTCCATTGACAAATAACAAGATATTTTCATAGTATTATTAGTATTTTATGCTTTTCACAGTGATCGTAGGACATTTTTAGCTTTACATTAAATATCACTCTTCATGATTTAGTTACAGAGACAGAACTAAAAATATTATTTTCAAAACAAAGTTATCTAATGCCTTAAGCTTAAAGCTTCTTTATTTCTTAATTTTCTTTATAAAGAAAATTATTGTCTATTCTGATTTATTATTGTATCAGTGTTATAACAGTATACAATATGGGGAGATGGCAAGATTCTAGGGGGTTTTGAATTCTTTTTCACCCAAAATCTGCTTGGCGGCAAGTATGACATCTTACCTGAATTCTCCTTAGCAATAATGTTACAAATTATGCAAGCATTTTGTAGATAATCAAATTTGTTTAAATTTATGGATAAATAAAACAAACTTTTTCTTTCGGAAATCAATATTTTCTCATAGATTTATATTAAAATAGTTTACCAGGTTTGTTTTTCAAGTAAAGTGGGAGAATTTTGTAAGATTTTGTAACATTGTAAAAAATATGTGCAAAAGTTTGTATAAAATCTTAAAAGAAACGATGCAAAGTCGCATGTCTAAGCAGCAAAGAAACCTTACGATTTCTTTATATTTTAGAGATTTATTATTTATGTTATTTATATTCAAATTACAAAATCAGTCAAAAAATATCAATCAATGTATTAAATTTTTGTTTGTGTTATGTATGCTTTAGGCAGGAATGGGGTCACAAAGGGGTCAAAATTGTAGCCAATTATCTTTGAATTTGGTGGATTTCCCCTATTACATTTTCTTTATTGCATGATTATTAACTTCTGAACACGTGGACTAGCAGTAAATTCCTTTGTCCAGTAATACTTCTTGTTTAGTTACAGAGTAAAACTCCACGTTAACCTTGAATGCATTTAAAAGGGCATTTAAGGACTCGAACTAAGGTCTGTTAAGTAAAAACAGAACAATGTCATATAAAAAAACCATACAACCATGCCAGAACCAATACGTCTCCTCCTGTTTATGGAGACATAATTATGAAAAGTAAACAATTTAAAATTTTGAATTTATTGTTAGACAACCCCTCCTATTGAGTGTTATATTTGTCTTTTTCTTTTAATTAAACAGTGCAATTGATACTGATAAATTACATTGATTAGTTAAAATATTAAGCAACTTCCAAGTAGACAATCAAGCAATGTGAAAAATTAATACCTAAGCACGACACCACATTTTTTTGCTTATTTCCCTGCTTTGGAAATCAATAAGAAAAGTAAAATAATGCCAATTGCTTGGAAGCCCTCAATTAGCAATTATAAAGAATATTTGTATTGCAAATACGTTCTATTTAATCAACAAAACGACTACAAAATATATGATTAGTATCTTATACGCTCCAATAACGCTTAAAAGGTTTGATATTTATGGTCTGTATTCCAGCCGACCAAAATGAGTTTGATAAAGCGAAATAGAAAAAGTGAGAATTAAAAGAAAAAAATTAGGGGTGTCAAAAACTTCCCAGCAACCACTTTGTGACCTTAAGATATGTCCTTGAATCAGAATAAAAAAAACACAAAGAAATCATGAAGCAATTAATTAATTGACTGAAATATTTTAATCAATTGTTCAAAATCACTCTTTAAAGCATATATTCGACTTTCAAAAAATCTCAATGTCCAGTGATCTTTTTGAAGTGACCTTGAGTTGAGTCACGTCATACCCTCAAGTCAACATGAACGACAGACTTTAACTATTCCATTGCTCAGTGACTTTGACTTTTGAAATAATACGCTTGAAGTAAGAAAAGAAATGGCGTTAATGAAAACATTTTATCATTTCATTTCCCTTTTTAACGTCTTAAGCATTTTGTCTAAAACATTTTATTCATTTCTTTCAGATAAAGATTGGATTGACGGTTGCTTTTGTGTTCGTTACAATTTGTATGTATACACTTATGTAGTTTTTTTGCTCTTGTTTTCTCTTATTGACTGCCTTCGAGGGCAGCAAATTTTCAAAGTTCTACATTTTTAAATGTTGAATTGACATTAATTTGGTGAATATTTATATTTGAAACTCAATTCATACGAAAATGTTTGAACTCCAAGGTACTTCCTTGAATAAATTTGGCAGTCATACTTGAATGAAAAAATAATTGCGAATTAATTAAGTATACGTGAAGGTTTACAGTGTTTATTGCTCGCATAATTTCATAACTGTCGAACACCAACGAATGCAAAATAGAATATTGCTGATCCCTCATTTAGTACAATGTAATAATAGTAATATTATAGTAAACGTCATGGCGGTGCAATATCTCACTGACAGATCTAACAGCAGTTTTAAGGACTCAGGTGACTTATTGCTATCTGTTTTCGTCCGTCGTCGTTCGTCTTATGTCGTTCGTAATATTTTTTTTTTTATTTTTTAAACATTTTCAGCTTCTTCTCTGGAACCATTGAACTAAATTCAACCAATTTTGGCATATGGCATCTATGGGTGAAGGGAAACAAAAATTGTGAAATTCATGGCCTCTGGACCCCTGGGGCCTGAGGGGGTGGGCTAAAACCATAAAAAATAATGCAATCTTTAAAAATTTTCTTCTTTACTCCTGGACATCAAGCAGTCAAACTGTTGGCATGATTGTAATGAGCATTAAGCCCTTCACCCAAATTTTGAAACCCATGGCCCCGGGGACAGTTCTGATGATTGGGCGGGGCCCTGTTGAATATATAGTGAATATGCATTATTTCTTTAAAAATCTCCTCCGCTCCTGGGTATTAAAGAAACAAACTAGATGCATAGTTATTCTGAGGAAGGGTGCCTTTTGGAAAATTGTGAATTTCATGGTCCCTGGGTCAGGGTTCTGGTTTTAAGGCGGGGGTCCAATGATTATATAGTGAAAATGAATTCTTTGAAAATCGTCTCCCCTGCTCCTTGGTATAAAGGAAACAAACTAATGCATAGATTTGATGTGGAAGGGTGCTGCTTCCTAAATTGTGAATTTCGTGGCCCCAAGGTCAGGGATTCTAGTGTTAGGGCGGAGCTCTAATATTTATATAGTGAAAGCATTAATACCTTGAAAATATTCTCCTCTGCTCCTGGGTATTGAACCGAAGAAATAAGTACATAGTTATGATGAGGAAGGGTGCCTCTTTTAAAATTGTGAAATTCATGGACCCTGGGTCAGAGGTTCTGGTTTTAGGGCTGGTTTTAATTCACCAGAATTATATAGTAAAAATGCATTAATTCTTTGAAAAATCTTCTCCTCTGCTCCTGGGTTACTAGGCTGATGAATTAAGTACATAGTTATGATGAAGAAGACTGTCTCTTCCAAAATTGTGAAAGATGTTGCCCCAAGATCAGGTGTTCCGGGTGGATGCTTATTTATTACGTACTGAAAATAAATTAATGCTTTGAAAATCTTTTCCTCTGCTCCTTGGTTTTAAGCATACAAACTAAATGTATAGTTATGATGAGGAAGTGTGCCCCTTCAAAAAATGTGAATTTCATGGCCCCCTGGGTCAGGGGTTCTGGTATATGGGCGGAGCTCTATTGAGTATATAGCAAAAATGCATTAATACTTTGAAAATCTTCTCTTCTGCCCCCGAGTTTTATGCAAACAGACTAAATGCAATAATATCAAATGCAAATTTTTTAATATAAATGTAAGTCTAATGTGTTATTTCTCTGCTCCTGTGTACCTAGGATGCAAACAGATTACAAAATGATAATAAGTAGGGAGTTACTCCCTTTTGCTAAATTTGTAAAATTTAAGAAATCCTTGTATATAATTTAATTAGAACGTTATTTGATTGAATAAGAATGCAAGAAAGAATGTTATATATATAGAAACCAAATTAAAATGAATATTTAGTTTAAAGAAGCAAAGCAAGATCAAGTAGGATTTTTGCTTGGAAAACAATATAGAAGATTGATATGAAGATTATTTATGTAGCAAAGGGCCAGTTGTATTTTGTATGCATATACTGTTGCATTGATGAGTTATTGTCAAGTGAATTCATGGAGATCAGAGTTTTGGTACATGTACCTTACTGAAGTGAACTAGTAATCAGAGAGATAGGGGGACTTGAGGACATGTTGTAGTTAGTAAATACTGGCAAATAGCCACGATGTGTAGCCAAGTCTCTCTTTGTGTACTTAATTGTAGCATTAGGCAAGTAACAGACACATATCTGTATATATTGAATATCTTACACACTACGAAAGTGCCCATTGTATTTGTATATCTTGCATTCATTAATTATCATTTCTGTAGACTTAGGAATTCAAGTACGATCCCAAGAAGATCAAACTATTTTTACCAGATTTGTGAAATTATTGGGCAAAATAGCTTCATCTATCACTTAATTTTGTTTTAAACTACTTTGAATCCTTTACAGTGTTATACTATACTCAGGTAACCGTTACGGCCCTTAGACCTCTTTTATTTGTTTGTTTGTTTTTGACTGCTCAGTAAACCATTCGAAATATTAGACTTTTTCTTATAGATTTATAGAGGATGCAGTTTTTAAGGGTATAACAAATGAAAGTTTTGTCTTTCTTTTAAATCCTTTAGATCCGGTCGTGGAATCGGTGCAGTGTTATTCGGGATACTGTTTTCACAGTGGAACGTGCACTAACTCGCCTAATGCGACGTGTACGTGTACGGTCGGATTTGTTGGGGGGCGATGTAAAAAAAGTGAGTATGATGTCTTGTTTGATTGATTTACAGTCATGCATAATAAAGAGTTAATCAAAATATTTTGGTGTCTGTTTACCGGTAACTAACTCCTTACATGTATTCATAATCCAGATAGTATAAGTTCTACAGGATTATTTCCCTTGTGAATAAATCAGGATGATACATCTTTGTGTAATCTTGTAACATAACACCGCGCTACCCACAGCTTGACACTTAATTAGTCTTTCATAATGTTTATTCTGTGAGCTTTTTAGTTCACCTGATCTGAAAGTTCAAGTAAGCTTTTCTGATCACCTTTTGTCCGTCGTCCCTCCGTCCGTCCATCTGTAAACTTTTCACATTTTCAACTTCTGGGCTAGAATAGCTGAAACTTATGCGGAAGCATTCTTTGGTAATGCAGATTCTAAATAGTTCAAAACATTGCCCCAAGGGGTAGGGTGGGGACACAATAGGGAATCAAACTTTTACTTTGAAATTTATAGGGAAAAACTTTAAAAATCTTCTTCTCAGGATCCACTGGTTCAAAAAAAAGCTAAAACTTATGTGGAAGCATCCTTGGCTAGCGTAGATTCTCAATTGTTCAAATCATGGCCCCAAGGGGTAGGGTGGGGCCACAACACGTATTACAATGGAGAAATCTGGTGAAGAAAAGCAGGGCAAAAGTAACTCAAGTGAGCGTTGTGGTTCATGGTCTTTTATTTAAATAACTGCAAAAGGAAGATAAGAATAACGAACGACCAGTGACTTGAAACGAGATTGTTGAAAGCCCTGTAACTTCAATTTATTTGTCGCCGCCTGTCTCCTTAATGATTGATCGTAGTAAGTACATATCAATGAGTATCGAACAGGTGATTATTGAATATAATGACAAAAATATGGTGAGCTGAAGATTGAAAAGCTGGAGTCATTCCATTTGTCTTAAAGTATACTTGTAATTTGACCATTAATATTGACTGACTATAGACATCAATGTCCAAATATGTAAATCCGTACTAAATGAAAGGAGATGGACGAACAAGGCGTGCAGATTGCCTATAGTATCAGATGCATAAAAATCATATATATTTTTTGATTTTTTTATTTAGAGTAAAGTTGTTATAAGTGTGTCTTTGCTACATGATATTCCTAACCAAATAATGTATATTTGCACGCACTCATAGAAGACGCTATGTTACGAAAAGACAGGGTCAAATGGAAATTGAAAGAAAATGTTATAAACAGAAAATTCAATATTTTGCGGTTGAATATATAAATTATTTCACCCATGAGACAGGACTGCTTTATGTTTCCACTCTTGCTTGGCAGTTGTGAAAATATTAAAAACAAAACAAAAAAAAACCTGTCCCACTACTGCAATAAATTCGATATTCGTCTACAAAATATTGAATAGCCTCTATACACTCCCAGAAATAGCACTTTTATTGTGATAAACCTGCTACGATGTATAAAATTTTTCAACTAGTCACACTCAACCTACTTATTATTGTTATGTAGACATAGCTTAAAACATGGTGTATTTATCCCTTCCGTGGCGCTTTAGACGACGATAAGAAAGTTAACTAAAATTAATAGATTTTTTTTCAAAACAAATAACCATTGAATATCCATTTGATTCACGAAATATGTATAATTTTATTGATCATCGAAGATTACTCTTATCTTTTAACATGAAATTCTTTTCACCGCTGTTAAAATGAATTGGACGATTCTCGCTACCATTATTTAAACATGGATATGATGTGAACATTATTCAGATTATGTCGTTTACTGATCACTACAACTATTAGTAAATTCACAGATTTCAGGAAATCCGATTCTACCATCTTGTTAAATTTAAAATGTATGCGCTTGTCAAACTTAAATGACCTGTTTACTACCAAACGGAGGGCATGCAGTATATATTTATGGTATATCTTTAAAAAGCAGAAATTTCATCTGAAAACAGAGCAAAACAGATTGTTTGCTTGCAAAAAAACCATGGAATACACATTTCAAAAAAAAATTGAAGGAACCATTTTGCAACATTTTTCTTGAAGTCACAGCTTGTGGCAACCTTCGATGGATCTTGAGTGTAAATAAAAGTACTAAACAACAATGTTAAAAAGTTCACTGGGAAACTAACTTAGTTAGTACGTTATCAAATCTACTGAAAAGTCATTCACACTTCACTGTTTGTAGATAACATATTTCTTTGACAGCATTTTAATCATATTGCAGACGGTATGAAAGCCTTCCGAAATGAGTTAAACAATACGTGGGGGTATAACAACACAAAGGCAAGTGAATATGTCGGGAAAGTGAAGCAAATTCTACAGGAGCATATCTTTCACCAGTATGAGCTTATAAAAACTGTGGTAAGAAATAAGTAATGACTGTATTGCTTTTTGGTTTGATGATGATGATCAAACAGTTTGCGCATGAAATAATTCTCTGCAAAAACCTTAAAGGCATTTGTACAAATGGCCATTCTTTCTTTTCATGAAGAAGGTTTCTGCACCTTAGTTGATATTGCTTAATTGTTAATTTATTAATCGGGAAACAGTGTTGCACTGATGGGAATCTCAATATAGTGAAACTCGAGTGCTGATCCTTTTGACAATAAATATAGAAGCAGCAAATTAAAGCATTCTAAGCATTGTTTCATTCATTGTAATTTCAATGTTCACATCAATGGAATAACCTGTAAAAGATTGGTGGAACCAATCAGCAACAACATGTTTAAATTATTCCAATGCATTTGTTACGAAAAGTTTCGTTGTATACTATATATCTTACTGATTTCCGAGAACGAAGTATTTTTTTCAAAAAAAAAAAAAAAAAAGAAAGAAAGAAAGAAAGAAAGAAACAAAGGACTGCAAATAAAAGTTTTGTTTCGCAGCCTACTTTCGGGTCAAATTTCGAAAGTTATCATATTCCAATGATTTTTTTTTAAAATTTATGTCGATATTTATGTCACTTTTAACGAAATTTGAATTTTTTATCAAAAGTAAGAGAGACAACACAACTCCAAACTGTAAAATCACAATTTTTTTTTTTTTGGGGGGGGGGGGGGGTATGAAGAGACCCGCAAATTCATATCCCATACGAAATGTTAAATTTACGTACTACAGTAAAGTCGTTATCCTTTAATCTAGATATCAAATCCCCTCGAACCACTACTTTTTCTATAAATCATGAAAATTTGACCCCTCGAAACTAAGTGATCTTACAGTTTATTTGTTAACTCACGAAATTACAATAGAATAAAATATGAAGATAACGAACAGTATTCAATCTCGAAAGTCCAATGAAACGATACAAATTTGAAGCAGGGCATACATGGACATCAAATTCAGAGGTGGGATCAGGTGCCATGGAGGAGCGAGCATCCCCTGCCGACCGGTCACAACCGCCGTGTGCTCCTTGTCATGATCAAAAAAAAAAAAAAAACAACAAACAAACAAAAAAAAAAAAAAAAAAAAAAAAACGGAAAAATCCGAAGACAGCTCAGTGTATAAGTAATGGCCTAATATTAGAATGAAAAAAATTAGTCAGCATTTGACTTAATGATAGGTTGTATTTGCTGACAAGGTCATTATATCGACCGTAAAACTTGCGAAAAGATGACTTCAAATGAGACTGTTGATATCCTTGTTTCATCAACTTGTTTGTCAATAGTTTGTCTCGTTTTAGAAATTGTTCATACGTAGAGAATGCTCTTGCGTATCGAATCAACTGAGAGACATAAACCTCATTTGCAGGTGATAAGGGTATATTGCTACATAAGTAAGGGAAGTTTACGATTGAAAAGTTGAAGTCATCTCGTTTATCAGAAAGCTTTGTTGTTAGATTGCAATTAACGTCTTTATCTAGTAAAGTAGAAAACAGACGAAATGGGAATATATTTTTAACCCTCCCACCCCCAATCCCCGGTCCCCGTGAAACAAAAATTGCTTTTGACAGGTATTTATAAATTGATTATAATTATTGTGCTGGCGATGAATTAATTAAAATTTGGCCATTTATGTTTGATAATAGTAAAATATCGACATTTTTTAAAATGCGAAAAAAGCAACCATGATTCATCAACGTTTGAGTATCATTATACAAATTAATTTTCATATTCACTGGGGTTTTTTTTTTCATTACAATCGACATCTTTTGTTTTAAGTATATATCACAAATAAAATGAAATAAAAACACCTTTTGCATTTTTATAATTAGAATTTTTTTTATAGAACTATACAAATGAGGTCTTGGATATAATTGCCACTGAAATGAGGAACCAAACAAGAAAGAAATACGCCATGAAAAATGCTGACTTTCTACCGTTAACAGAGGGTATGGTCTATTTAAGTAACCTGTAGCTCTGGTGACCTATTAATTGAATATTGCAGCCCATGATATTCTTGCTTTGCTTTCTCTGCCTTTTCAATACCATTATACTGAAACTGTCTTCGAGACAGCTCTGAGAATTGAAAACACCAATTATAACTTTACTAATTTATTGAGAAACAAGATCATAATAATACAACACACACAATGTTGGATGGAAATGGCCGCAAATTTTGTAGGAGTCAAGGGAGACAACTAGGATACCATAAACAAACGGGCAAACTAGTGGCCTCGCTTAGATGCGAGTGCCATGGAACCCCATGCCTGACACACGCATGATGGCTAGGCACACAAGCTGCACAGCTTTTACACCCTGCCTCTGGCTTGCTACCTGGTTTAGAATTTTAACACCAACCAGTCTGTAGCCTCTCCTACTTTTATATAGGTAGAGGGGGTCTGAGCACTGAAATGCTGCAGATCCCTAGCAATTTACATTTATTCTACACATTTCCTCAATGGCATTTAACTTCCATGTTAAAACACAGCCATGAGACCCCCCTCATGCTTTGATGCAGATGGGCAGAGACAAACAGGTTAAGCATGCACAAGGATGATGTTTCCCTTGACCCCGCCACTAACATCGATATGATGTTCCCCACAACAATTTGCACCAAAATTAATATTTATATATGTAGCAATCCTAAACTAGGAAATTACAGGTCATCGCGTCATCGCAACTGAAATCTGACTAAACAAACAAAGGATATTACTGAGGAGGGAAAATTTTGCCCTTTCCCCCTAAAATGAATTCCAAACCACCCTGGATATTATTTAAATAAGCCTTATTCCCCCTTTCAGATAAATGAGTTCCATCATATCTAAATAAACTGCTTTGATGAACATTGAAATTTTTGTCATGAAAAATGCAAGCCCCATTAACTTCGGATGTAATGAATTTTCTAACGGCCTTATTCACCTTACGCCGTTTTAAATCAATCTTAGCCCCACCCTTGCCAAGAGGTGCGCCATGCCAATAAAGACGGGGAAGCATTGTTGACCAAATGAGCAAAGTCTTAGGAAGCAATACATTATAACGATACAAACTACATTGAATTTCATGTGAAAATCTAAGTGCAGTATTGCCAGACGTTGTTAAATCATTTGACCCTGCGTGAATGACTAGTACATCTGGGTGTGGTTGATGTTTGAGTTCATCTGTTAACACTTTGTCAAGATCTTCCCATTTCAGCCCTCTAATTCCCTTCCAAGTGATGTCCATCCCAAGATTAAGGTTCTTTCCACCCGGTCTCCTCCCTGCCTCCTCACCAGCCCAATAAGGTATTGAAGATCCCACTATCCAAATCGTCTTGGATTGGACTGGATTTTTGCTTGTAACTTTTACTAATGACCAAACTCACTGGATGTTGAAGAGGAAGAGGAAATTGCTATACTAGTTAACTCATCCTGAAGCTGACTTTCCCATGAACTAGATAACTTGTACCAAGTTGTGTCTTATTGTTTAATGCTATCCAAACAATTAAATGAGATTATCTCATATTCATTTCAATAATCTATATTATTATTATACGTCAGTATAACTTTATTTGATCTACACCACTTCATTTCTTGAATATGTAGTTGCACAATACGTCTAAAGATTCTCCTCCACGGCAGTTTATATTTTAGTGAGGAGTAAGGATAAGGGCTCGGTTGAACATTTACTGGACCCTGCAATATATGCTATTTATGAAGTTTTGGAATCCATTATTGGTACCGTAAATTAAACTAACTTCCATTGAATGGAATGTTGAAAATACTTAAAACTAAAAAAATAATTTGGAAGAATTTCATCATTTGAAAGGGAACTCTGGGTATAGGTTGGATTATCATGCAAAGTGGAAATGGAATTGTAACAGTTATTCAAAAATGCAGTTGAGCTAATGAGCCTGATATTAAGACTATTGTTACAAGTTTTGTCAGCTGGAACCAAAACATTTTTTTAATGTAGTCTTTCTTATTTTTTGTCACTTCCGGTCTACTGAAAACGGAAGAATAGATAGTTCGCATTTTCCCTTTACTTTTTCTTATGCGATTCTTTAATAAATATCTAAAACGACGGGTTGACTCTGATTTTTATCTTCGTTGTGGCTTATAGACCCTGTATTGGGCAACATTCATAATCTCAAACTCTAGTCTGTATTCTGATGTTGAAAATTCGACATAAGGTTCTCGATTAATCAATATAAAATTTTCAAGGGCACAGAGGCAGAGAGTAAAGTTTATTTCTTATTGACGAAAGGTAAAAGCAAATCAAATGAGACTTTGTGTATATTTGGCTTATTATGAGCGATGTCCATCATCATGCGCTTACACCTAGGTGTTTTGTTAAAAAGTCTAATCGCATTCAAATTGGTACACTTGAAAGATTTACTACAATATTGATGTGGTCTTCGTAACCATATGGAAATGAAGTTCCGAGTTTCCTAATCGAGTATTCTTCTCGTTGTCTACGGAATGGAGTACTAAAATAAGTGCATTGTGGGAAGGGTTTTTTTCTTCTAAAATTCTGACCCTCATAGAAAAAGCAGAATAGTCGGAGGAATTGGAATAATTATGAAGATGTGGTTATCTCCATTGTTTATTTAAAATCTACGTCCCGACATTCTCTTAGTTTCTCCAACACAAACAAGGCCCCATAGATCACATTGAATTCCACTGACAACGTTAGAGGACTTGCAACTCATATCTTTACAAGTTCTGGTATTAAAACGTCCAGTGAAGTTGTTATTAAAAGAAAGAACTGCGAACGATAGTATTGTTCTCCCGCCTACCTCCAAGTCAATTTTCAAAAGTTAACACATTTGAATGATTTTTCATATATATATATATATATATATATATATTTATATAAATTTTTATAAAACATTACTTATTTGGGAAAACAAAGAGAGATAACGCTATAGTTTTGGTAAAACTTGTGTTTTTCACTATAGAAATCAACAGAAAACGGAAAATATTCTTAAAACGTCTTCCCTCCCTCCTCCTCCCCCCCCCCCCCCCCCCGTGAAACAAAAATTCAAAAATTCCTTTTGACAGGTAATATGGATTGTTATTTCACAAATTTATACCAAAGCTTTTTGATTTCACGGGGGGGGGGGGGGACATATGTTTACAGGCAAAAAACGACAGAAATGCTCATTTTTTCACCAATTTCGAAGGGGTTTACAACTTAAACAATGTATTTTATCAATTACATATGTTTGATTTTATATGCGTAAAACATAAGAAAAGATTTAAGGAACATTTATCCATATCCTAGAATATTTAAAAATATGCTGATGCTTTCAAGTCCGATTCCAGCGGAAAACATCGTCTACTCCCCACAAAAGGGGCTGCAATTAAGAGTAATTAACTATTTAACACTGGTATTAAAATTATTAATCAATTACCATTGAACTCTTCTTTGCATTCAAGAAAGATTTTATGGCGAAATTGAAATTGGTATTGAATTAAATGGGTGTGAAATGTAGGCAGGAATCGAGAGTTAGCGTGCGTTCTTTCAGGTTTTTTAAAACATCACAAGTTTTTCTATTTGGTACGATATTTAGAATTGGAACACATAGTATCCAAATCTGAATTGTCAAAAACATCTCTGATCGAAACTTTACAATCTTTTATTTTAGTGAGGTGGTGTCTGCTTTATATCAAAACTGTTATCTTAAGACTGTATATTAAACAAATTCTTTATATCTCGAAAGACAATCTGGGGTGCAGCAAACCATTCTGGTAGAGTCTGTGCCCCTTGTAGACTCAACAGTTTAGTTTATACTGGACGAGATGTCAATCAGGGTGGAATTCTTTATCTTTTTAATATCCATTGAAGTATATAAACTGAACGACAAGTACTAGTATCCTCGGGGTAGATTGTCCATCAGCAGAAATACATGCTCGTTGCTAAATTGTCATACATGTATATTGAAACTATAGTACATCTTATAAAATCCTTACTCATGGATATCTAGCATGCAAACTCTTAACATGTTTATATTAAGCATCGAACCTTTTTTGAACAATGTTCATTCATGGAACCTACATTTAGGTCAAGGGTTCGACCCCAGGTTGCTTTTTTAGTAACAAAATGAAAATGCAAGACATCTTCTTGGCAAACTTTATACATGTACCTGTTTCAATAAATATTGAAACCTTTGCAAAAATTGAAAAATTCCTGACGTCAGGCCTCAATGTGGAGATAAGTTGGTCAGGTATTGAAATCTCGTCACATCATAAAATCATAAAATCTTCATACTCATGGACATCAAGCAGAGAAACTGTTTGCATGTTTATAATTAACACATAGATTCCTGGTCGATGGACCAGAGGCAAAGATGTGTCGAAGTTTGTCAAATGTGAAAACATCGTTACTTTTTGTTTTTAAAAACCTTTTTCCCACTATCCTGGAGATCTAAAAAGCAAATTGTTTGCATTATTTTAATGAGCGGCTAGTCTTCTTTAAAAATAAAATAAACGCGTCCTTTGATATAAGAGCTGAGTTGGTCTTACATTTTGAAATTCATTTTACAGAGTAACGTATCTTCTTTGATCCAGAATTTCTAGACCCCTGGCTACAAATCATAGGGGAAACTCCTGACTTAATAAATTTGAAACAAGAGGTCCCGTTCAAGATAGGGACAATCCAGTTAAATTTTGAGAAATTCATAATACTCAAATGACTGCATGTCCAGGCCAATTTTCCGCTTGTTTATACTTCAACTTTCAATCTTGATATGGCGTTTGTCATAACTAAAAAGACTTTGTACTATAATCGAGAGTATTATTATTTTCAGATTATGTAGAGATTCTTACAACAATCGTCACGATATTGAACGACAAAGGATGTGGTGTGGGCCAAACAGTCAACTGCAGTGTGAATGCCACTTTGGTATTTTTTTTAAATTAATTAAATTTATTTATTTATTTATTGAAACAAGGAAACATAACAGACTATGCTTATTTTACAATTGTTTCTCATAAAAACAGATTTGTTAATTTTCTTAGACATATTTCACAAAATAAAGAAAGTCAGCTGAAGTATGCATTTCAGTATTCTACCCTCCTATCGTACGCCGAGGATAATTTAGTGCAAATAACAAGTATAATGGGGATGACCAGAGTTGAAGAAGGAGAAATGACAACGATAGAAAAAGATGGAATTATCTCCTTCACGATCCTCAAGTCCAAAGGGAAAGATCTCCCATTTGTATTCCAAGCTGCATATGGATCTGTCACGCTGCCTTACTGGGAGACATTCCAAGACACCATAGGCGGAAGGACAATCGTTCTTAGTGTATGTATTGGCTTTTTTCTCCTCATTAATTCTAATACAATAATTTACTTTTGAAGTATAATTCTATTTTCTTGATCTTTTAATTTTTAGACACGTGTATATCACCCAGTGCATTTTGAAATTTGAATTTATATATATTGAATACTTGGTATCAATTTCTACTTTTACTTTTGGGTCGTATATTTTTCAACACAACTTTCAATGGCCATATCAGAACCTTTCTTATTTTAAACAATATTTTATTTTATAATTGAATAATTCTCTGATTGTCTGAGATCCAGCATTGTAGAAATCAAAGTTATACTAATACACAAATATAACATTGCGTTCTTCTACTACATTGGACTAAAAATAGATCGAAAATTTTCAGATTGATTTCATTAGTTATATGAAAGGTTAGGTGTTGAATCATATAATAAAACCTTTATTGTTGTTTCCTTTTCAGCCAATACAATGTTAATGAATTAGCCCCCTCGGAGTACAATAATCACAGCGTCCTTCGGATGCGGTGAATATTATACTCCTTAGGTGGTGAATTCATCATATTGACATCTAAAAACAACAATAATTGAGTGATGTTCTATACATAATAAGACTGGGCAGCGGCCACTTTGCCTATATAAGCCCTCTCTCTGTTTTTTACTTTTTGTGCTTGAGCTTTTCGTGCTTTTTGTAATTGATTAAAGCAACAATAATTGAGTGATGTTATATACATAATAAGACTGGGCAGCGGCCACTTTGCCTATATAAGCCCTCTCTCAGGTTTTTGCTTTTTGTGCTTGAGCTTTTTGTGCTTTTTGTAACTGATTAATTTGATAATAAAGTTGATAAGAAGTTATGCTCTATAGTTGCAAAATTATTCTCTAGTGCAACTCCGATTGTCTAAAAATGAAATAACTGTTTATCATGTAGCATTAAAAAAAATTATCCAATTCAGTTGTATTTCTTTCTTATATCAACATAAACTTTTTCTGGATTTTCCATTGGTTTATTGGTTTAGGTATATTGAATAACCGGAATAAAATTTACAGTGAATTTGTTCATCATTTGGATAATTATGATCTTTACAGGTGCTGACATATCACAAAAGCCCGTATGGATTTGTAGATAATTTGGATGCTGTAGCCTCTGGAGTAATAAAAGTAGTCACGACAGACAAGAATGGAAAAATCCTTAACCTCCGAGATCGGGACGATCCTGTCGATATGACAGTAGACATGACACAGGTATCTGCATCTTCCATATTGTTGAAATTACAATAGACATGTTGAAATGACACGACACAGGTATCTTTATCTTCCATGTTATTTTGATTTATTCTGAAAATTCAAATTTTATTCGGCATTATAGTAAAATATTCAAATATTAACTTGAAAATCTTAATAATAAAGCCCTAAATCAATTAAAAGTAAGGGTAAAATTGATGATTTTTTTAAAATTATTTTTTGTTTGCTTCGATATTCAAACCTCAAATTTTACTATTTTCTAATGTAAAATACATGCAATGTGAAATCCTCTTCTAGGTGTTCTCTGCAACTCACACCTGGAGTGATATGGAAAGGTTGGCTGATGGCCGATCTACGTGTGTAGCTTTTCGGAACGAAACATATTCAGCTTTTGTTCTGGAGCTGAAAATTAATTCCTTTTCAAAATGTACTATGTATGGTATCTATGGAACCACAGGATATCCCACCAGTAGCAAACGTGACATTTTGGTCAAAACCAAGGGAATGAACCTTATTCTTGATTCGAAACCATATGGACTACCGGTTACTTTTGATAACCAGCTGCTTCAGATCACTATTTATAATACAAATTATTGGAAGGGTGGTCATATGGACCCTCTTGCAATTACTCTACGATGTGAAGGTAAGGACTGTCATCGAAGCCATGAAAGATACACTTTAGCTAACAATATATAAAAAAAATCACACACGAATCAGAAATTTGTGATATCAGCAAAGCATAAACTACTGTATAGAATAGTTTTATAATTAGTTATTGAGTTTAAATGATAAGGATATTAATTGCTTCAGTATGATTGATCAATATTTTGATGGTTGTTTTTGTTTTGAAAACAGTGGGTAGAAAGTAATGTATACTTTCATTTTCTACAGATGATGTAGCAAAACGAAAGAAAAGACAAGGTAAGAAAACTTTACATAATTATATTCGTTCTTCACTTTTTTTCAATTTTAGAAAATGTATAGGCATGAAAAATTCACATGGTTTTCAATCATTAATTCAAAACAACAAAGATAAAAGAAGATTTAAAATGTCACACCAAAATTTGCATTGAAAATACTTAAAACTAGCAGTAATACACAAATTAAGAAAGGAAAGAAATTGCAAAGATTAATTCTGTTTTTAACAGCTTTTTCAAATGTCCATCAGTTCCGTGTGCAGGAAATAACTTTGTCACAACTAGGTAGTACAACATGGGCGGATTCCAACTCAGCAGAGGTTTGAACAATAATCAAAAATCATATGACAAGGCTATTCTAAAAGGAAAAAACTTGTAGAACAAAAAAAAATACATGTAAAAATTAGTTCCTGTAAAAATTTGCATAAAATTTTGAAAGATAACAATATACGTAATGGGTGTAAATAAACATAAGAAAATCAAAATATCTATCGATTGCAGAAAGGGTACTGAATGTTTTAAATACAGTGTTTTAAGGTTTTGTATTTTTTTTTTTTATATTTTTTTGTATTTTTTAAATATTATTTTTTTACTTTTTGTGTGTCATTTAAGATTGACAAGGCAGAGGGTAACAATATTAAATTCAAGAGCACTTTTTTCGGAACCTTTGCATCCAATACACTGTTTATTCCGCCAGCGACGATTGACTTTGAGGCCATCTTTACAAACTTTCTGGAGCGCCTTAGGTTAACACCTCATGTGCTCATAATTTTTGTGATCTTATTTGTGTTGATTGTAATTTTGACTATATTTCTAAGACGAATGGACATAAGTGATCATTTAATCGTAAGTATTTTAACATGAACAATTAACACTTGGCGTTTTGAATGGTAACTAAATGTATTCAGAACTAAAATTTCAGCATTAGTAGTATCAATTAAACTTCTACACTGTATACATGAAAATAATGATATAATATCTCTTCATTTAAGAATGTTTACATAAATCGATTAATCGTCGATACCAAATAATGAAAATAATTAATCCATTATTAATCATTGTTACCAAGCATTGTGTTAACCAGTAAACGAGTATGGTTTTCATGCATATGGTTTAGCTAGAAATAAAGTGGGAATTTAACACAAGTTAAGAACAAACTCTATTTATCTATTAAATCTTTTCAAAAATACTTTAACATTTTCTTTGAGAAGCCTCCCTTCATATTGCAAAGATACTAATAAATAAAGTTACATTATTCAATATTCCTAGTGGGATTACTTGCCATTGGCTGACAATAAGCGACAAGACTCCTATAAATACACAATTTCTGTGTTTACCGCCATCAGATCATCACGACTACTGACATCAACCCCTTACTTTGTTCTCGAGGGATCGAAGGGATCCACTGGAGACCGTATTCTATTTGACGGACAACGTCAGGTAATGTGTTAAATCCAAATATTTATTACTGACTATATTAGAAGTTTCATCATTTTATTTTCATTATCTCAGATAAATACCTTTCTTCCTATCGCCCGCGTTCTTTTCGAGAATTGCAACGTAAGGAGATGATCCTTACGTCGCAAATTCCAATCCCATTACAGGATGTGGAGACCCGTCCAACAAATAAGACCATATAAAACGATGTCCCGTGTTGCAGTAGGCACTGACAGGAAAAAGATCCATAACTGCTCCTTGGCCATAAGTGCCAAAAGCAGGTCTTAATTTGCTTCCTTTGTCCTATAAATATGACTGAAAAATTCTTTATGGGACGTAAAGCAAACAAAAAAATCCAAACCTTTTAACCTTAAATTTTTTTTTATTATAGTTAGATATATCAAAATTCCTGTTTTGTAAGACTGTATATTCCGATGAAAAGAAAAATACAAGAGGCCCAGGGGCCACATCGCTCACCTGAGCACTATGGCTAGGAAAAAGCAGAAATCATTTCAATCTTGAAACGTTGAAAAGTTTAAATATAAAAGTGGTTGGGGGGGGGGGGTGTCAGGAATTGAACAAATTTGAATCTACATTATCTGAGGATGCTTCCATTTAAATATGACCAATCATGGCTTTGCTGTTCTCGAGTAGAAGATTTTTAAAGATTTAACCTATGTATTCCTATGTAAAACTTTCATCACCCATTGTGGCCCCACCCGATCCCCAGGGGTCATGTTTGAACAAACTTGAATGTACACTATCTAAGAATGCTTCCATATAAATATGACCAATCATGGCTTTGCTATTCTTAACAAATTGTTTTTTTTAAAGATTTTTACTATGTGTTCCAATGTAAAACTTTGATCGCCCATTGTGGCCCCACCCTACCCCCGGGGGGTCATGATTCGAACAAATTTGTATGTACACTATCTGAGGATGCTACCATATAAATATGACCAATCATGGCTTTGCTATTCTTAACAAATTATCTTTTTTTTTTTTATTTTTTTTAGAATTTTTACTATGTGTTCCTATGTAAAACTTTGATCTCCCATTGTGGCCCCACCCGACCCCCGGGGGTCATGATTTGAACAAATTTGAACGTACACCATCTGAGGATGCTACCATATAAATATGACCAATCATGGCTTTGCTGTTCTTGAGAAGAAGATTTTTACTATGTGTTCCTATGTAAAACTTTGATCTCCCATTGTGGCCCCACCCGATCCCCGGGGGTCATGATTTGAACAAATTTGAATGTACACTATCTGAGGATGCTACCATATAAATATGACCAATCATGGCTTTGCTGTTCTTGAGAAGAAGATTTTTAAAGATTTTTCCTATATATTCCTATGTAAAACTTTGATCGCCCATTGTGGCCCCACCCTACCCCCGGGGGTCATGATTTGAACAAACTTGAATCTACACTACCTGAGGATGCTTCCAAGTAAATATGACCAATCATGGCTTTGCTGTTCTTGAGAAGAAGATTTTTGAAGATCTTTCCTATATATTCCTATGTAAAACTTTGATCTCCCATTGTGGCCCCACCCGACCCCCGGGGGTCATGATTTGAACAAACTTGAATGTACACTATCTGAGGATGCTACCATATAAATATGACCAATTATGGCTCTGCTGTTCTTGAGAAGAAGATTTTTAAAGATTTTTCCTGTATATTTCCTATGTAAAACTTCGATCGCCCATTGCGGCCCCACCCTAGCCCCGGGGGTCATGATTTGAACAAACTTGAATCTACACTACCTGAGGATGCTTCCACATAAGTTTCATGTTTTCAAGCACAGTGGTTCTTGAGAAGAAGATTTTTTAATGATGCCATTAATTTTTCACGAATTCTTAATTATCTCCCCTTGGAAGAGGGCGTGGCCCTTCATTTTAACAAACTTGAATCCCCTTTACCCAAAGATACTTTGTGGCAAGTTTGGTTGAAATTGGCCCAGTGGTTCTTGAGAAGAAGTCGAAAATGTGAAAAGTTTACAGACGGACAGACGGACAGACAGACGGACAGACGGACAGACGGACTACAGACAAAATGTGATCAGAAAAGCTCACTTGAGCCTTCGGCTCAGGTGAGCTAATAACATATTTCTCCCTCATGATCAGAGAAAAGTACGATGATCCTAAAATTAAAAATATTGGATTTGAAGTGGAAAAGAGGATATTTAATGAAGTAAATTGTAGTAATTGCGATATTTTACAACAAGAACCGTGCCGTTCATAAGAGCTCAGTCAATAATCACAAAATACCTTTTATATTTGCATCATATCGAACGTGCTTATACATGAACTTGGAGAAAATAATTATGAAATTTTTTGAAAAAAAAAATGTAGACGGTCACAATTTTCCTCAGAAATTTGTCAGAGCATAACAAAAATGCAATAAGAACACGTAATAATAATTCAAGAAACCTGCGTAATTCTCTATTGGCGGATTGGATAGATATTGTGATTCCGCGAAATTATGAACCCATGTGAAAAAGTATGTTTACAGTAAATAAATTGTTTTTAATGTCAAAAAATAATAATTTAATGCACTTCAAACAGAACTTCAGCGCAGGAACCTGCAGTAACTTTTTTATGTCAACGGAGAATGAATTAGGTAAACTCAAAAGATTAACAATGTGGACTGACAATAAAGGAAGGTCCCCGGATTGGATGTTATCAAAAGTTGTCATTATAGATCTATCTACCAAAGAGAGGTACTTGTTATTTATTTTATATGAAACAAATCTACTCGTGGAATAAATTTTATTTCTTTTTGAGCAATAACTAACAGAATTAAAATCAATTACTGCATAAACACTTAGTACATATAATTATGTAGATTATAAATGATTAAATATTTAAACTATGAGCTATCAATGATTATTTTTTCGAAAAATTAATGAATTCAGATTTGTTACTCTGGGCTAATGATGGTAATTGCATTTTATTCAGCGAAGCTAAGGATCTCCAAACGAAAATGACTTTAAGAGAGAGGTTACATATAATGAAAATTTCGAATAATTTTATTTTTTTCCATTTGATTTTGAAGCTATACATTCCTTTGTGGCGAATGGATATCACAGCAATATGGAAATTGTGACACATGGGTTGTTCTAGAACCTCTTTCAAAGGGTCTTCTTGTTAGGGAAACCATTTTCACAGAAACAGCAAGAAAGGGATTCTTTGATGATCACCTCTGGTTTTCGATCTCAAAACGCCCACATTACAGTCAATTTACCAGAGTTCAAAGACTTTGGACTCTAATGGCTCTTCTATTCCTCTCAATGGTAGCGTCTGCGATGTGGTTCAATCAAGAACCATCAAAGGAAGACCAAGATCCTGATACAGTCAGTGCTATTAGAACTGTTCAGTTGGGGCCGTTTAAATTAAGCTACAAACAGCTGTATGTAGGGTTCATGTCATCTCTGATTACCTTTGTCCCATCTATAATTATTGTTGCCATCTTTAAAAACAGAAAGATAAAACAAGAAAATACAAGCTATTCCGATTCTCAAAAAGAATCAGAAATAGTATCTATTGAGAACAAAAAACGGAGACTCGTACTTCCTTGGCAGAGTGTATATTTTGCATATGCTCTAATCGGCCTCTGCATAACTACTGGAGGAACATTTACATTTCTTTACTCGTTAGAGTTTGGAACTGACAAAACAAATGATTGGCTAATGTCATTTGTGTTTGGAACAGTCTTAGGCGTCCTCATCCTGGAACCAGTGAAGGTAGAGTTTTTTCTACTTTCTTCAATGTTTCTTTCTTGTTTGATATTTTAAAATTTTTCTTTCAAATATTATTATAAAGTAAGTCTTTTTTTTAACTTTATACATTTTAGGTTCTACTTTTTGCAATTCTGATTGCATGCTGCCTGCAAAGATCAAAGGAAACGCTATCAGATGTGGGAAATCCATATCAAAATGTAAAAGGTGTGTTTAATTTTGTTTACTGTTAGGCCATGACATCATAACACTGAATTGTAATGTTTTATGCTTGTTTTACTTTTTCATATTAAAGATTCTGATATAATTAATGTTTAATTTGTTTTGTTGTTTTTTTTTTTGGAGGGGGGGGGGGTATAAGTTTATTGTTTTAAAATATGATTTATTTGTTTTTGTTGTTGCTGTTGTAGTAGGTTTTGTTTTGTAATTTTTTAATTGATTGCTTTGCTTTCTTTCTTTTTTCTTTTCTTTTTCTTTTTGTTTTGGGTTTTTTTATGGGGGATTGAGAATGGGGTGCTTCAGTTTTGTTTTTTTCGATTTTTTTTTCGTTTGTTTTTCAAAACTCTTTGTTTAAAATCGCTGAACATAAACTTTAAAGCTATATATGGCGTATCAGCTAAAAAAAATAAAAGATAAATAAAAATACGAGATTTGAGTGTATATAAACATGATATTTCTTAATTACGTTCAAATTAAAATTTTCACCTATTTTGAACTTGAATAACCCCAAGTTTCTATAGTTAAATTGACTTTAAACTGTGTCTGATACTTAAATGCGGAGTCGGTAAATAAATCGGTTATTGTTTTAAAGTTCTAATTTAGATGAAACGCGATTGATTTAAATTGCGTAATTTAAGGAAAGCCCTATCTTCATATAAAGTAATAAAACAAGTAGAAAGATCTTTTTTAATTTTAGTTAGTCTGAACTTATCAAAAATACGCCATATATGACTTTAAAAAATCATATAGTAATTTCTTATTAAAATTTTCCTTTTAATAGAGGATGATGTAGATGGAGAATGCGACGACGTGGTAGAGGCAAAAATCATTTACCATCCTTGTCCAATCGCAAAGGCAAATACCAGAAAAAGTCAGATGAAAAAGAAGAGATTCAAATTAGACAATGAATTAGCAGAACACTTCAAGTCTTTTCTTCTGTGTATATTTTACATATTCATCCTCGCTATGATCTGCTCACACATCACCACTACGACGGCTTTCCGCCAGAACGAGGCAATGAGCATTTCCATTAACAACAGTTTTGTGGTATGAGCTGAAAATTCTTGTTTGCTTAGAGAAAAAAAGATCAATTATATTCAGTTTATTGATACATATTTGTCATATCTTTATTAACTCGATATAGTTAAAGAGCAAAAATTTGTATATGTATGATTAAAATGACCATAGTAACTACATTGTGCAGCCAAAATCTCTCTCTCTCTCTCTCTCTCTCTCTCTCTCTCTCTCTCTCTTATACAATATATTTTCTTATTTTTTTCATTTTGATTCTAATGTATTCAAAATTGAGCATATATGTAGGTGCTGGAGTATTTGACTAGTCGTTTATGACCTACATTTGTTGTTTTGCATGCCATGCTTTTACATAATTTACAATTGTGGATTATGAATCTACAGAGTATCCAGACCGCTAAAGTATTTAACAGTATTTATAACAATCCTTTTTGTCAAGCATAGTTATCATAAAAAAGAGATAAATTTAAATTTATAATTTGAATTGAAGATTATCTGCCCTTGTTTTTCATTCAAAGCATTAATACAAAAGATTCAGATTCTTTCTTCACTTTGTGTACGGTGTGGGTCATTGGACAATATAATTAAGAGTTAAAAGATTTTGTTTGTTTATTTTTGAAGGTAAACACAACAGATGACATCTGGACCTGGTTAATTGATTATTATATTAATGCAACTTGGACCAAATATTTCGTTAATGACGATCTGAGGACAGCGTATGAACAGAGGTTTACTTATGATGGATACAATTATAGAATGTCATTGATCCAACTTAGACAAGTTCGTTCTTATGGTAAGTAAACTATTTCAACAATGCCAATTTAACAATTACTTAACATGAATAATCTTGTGTAAAAATCGTAAAAGTTTTAACTTCTAAGTATTCAAAGAAATCAGCTATACATATTGGCCCTACCAGAGAAATTAGATCTCAATTTCTTACTGCTATTCTTATAATACAAGTAAAATATTTCTGCGTGCACCAGGGAACTGCAGTGGACCAAAGGTTGTACAGAATGTTGTAACAAGGTGCACAAATGATTATGATATCGAAACAGAATCCACTGAAAATTTTTGTCCAGGTGAGGAATACTTATACTTTCTTATGAATGAGTTTTTCTATTTTGATTTATTCATTATATAATTAAAATTAAGGAAAATGAAGAAATTCTGGCATGATTTTTTTATCCACAGGTTGGGAGAAATTCAACTCTTCTTGTTTTGATGAAAATGAAATAATTGACTATAGCTTTCAGTATAAATCTTCTAAGGAACTGAAATCTTTTTCGTACTTGGGAAAATATGCGTATTACGGCGGTGGTGGATATCGAATGCAACTGGGTCCCAAGCAATCCCTGGTCATCAACCATGTCAATCAACTCAGATCTAAAACGTGGATAGATGGAAATACCCGCGCAATATTCGTAGATTCAAACACGTTCAATGCCAACAGCCGACTATTTACTCATTTGAAAGTCGTTTTTGAGATCTCTGAGTATGGAGCCATTACCATGACAACAATATCTAAGTCCTCCAATTTATATCCGTACGTGTATGCATTGGATTACATCATTCTTTGTCTCCAGATAATCTTTGTGATAATAATCGTGGTTAAGATGATTCTGTTTGGGATAAACGTATTCAAATTAAAGCGAAAGTGTTTTGTTACCTTTGGTATGTGGATAACATTAGCAGAAATAGTGTTGGCTCTATTGGCCATTGTGTTCTTTATCATTCGAATCGACAAGACTATCAAAGCAGTAGATGACATAAATGATAGCAATGGTAAGTACTTTACAATCTCATTGCATACTGTCAAATCAATTATTTTCGAGGGGTCATTTTTTGGTTTGAGGAAAATTACTGGGAGAAACATCATATTGCAATATTGAATTTTAACATTTCGTGGGGGATATGAATTCGTGGGTCACTCCACTCCATGAAAACAACAAAAATTAATTCTCCATGAAAATTGGTGATCTTTCTGGTTTCTTCATGGAATCTATGCTACATGTAATTGAAAAAGTGCATCTGTATATTGTTTGTTTGAAAAGTACTTTGTATGTCCTGTTTAAGATGCTTTATTTTTTTTCTTTGCAGGAGCTTTTGTGTCGTTTGAAGAAGTAGAATTATACGACGAAATTTACCGTTTATGTATAGCTGGTGTATTTTTCATAGTGATCCTTCGTTTATTACAGCCTTTATCTTTCAACTATCATCTGTTTGTCTTGGAAAAATCTCTTTCAAAAGCCAGAACAGATCTAATTTCTTATAGTATATTGCTTTCAATTTCTTTGACGGCCTTTGCTTCGTATCTTTATTTAACTTTAGGCAGGTATGTTTTTGATTTCAAAAGCATGGATTCCGCGTTAGGAACTTTGCTTCAGATGCTATTGTCTATGATATCCTTTCGTTTTAACGTGGACATGTCTTCTATGCAAGCACAAGTTGTTGTCAGTTTGTTTGCCTTCACGGTGTCAATCATTGGAATCAATATTTTTATCGGAATACTTACATGGAACTTCTATTACATTAAACTCTTACAAACGGATAAGGAAGCGACACAAAACGTACTTTTTAACCAAGAACTCAACGACCATTTCTGGTGGAGAGTTGATCAAGTATTACGTCGACTGATTTTTAGAAGAACACGTACGTTATACTAAATTTGTCATATTATATATGATTTCATATTATATATGATTTTGTCATATCAAATATGATTTTTCGGACAAAGATCAAAATTGTTACATGAATGCATGGATTTTTGTTTTGTTTCAGCAAAGAGTAAGAACAATGATGCTCTGTATAAGGCAAGTTATATATTGTATTGATTTTAAACATATGAGTTCTATGTGGAACAAATTAAAAATAAATCAAGAAAGATTTTTTTAATAGAGAAACATCCTTCTCCCTCTTAAATTTATGAAATAAAAAAGATAAAAGAATACAATTATTATTTTTACTTTTTGTATTTGACTCACTTAAAGATAAATCGAACAAATACAAAGCATCTATAGAATGTTATGCATTTTCCAACTTCAGAAAGTAGAAAAGAAGATTGATTGTATAGATCAAAAGTTTAATGATATCACAAAGGAAGAAATCGAGTGGACATTTTCTACGACAGCAATGATGTTCATCTGCAAGAAAGATCACAGGAGAAATTTGCTGGGATGCTGTATAACCGCACACAACAACGACATTCAGTATAGGTATTACCAAATTCAAGGCTCGGTTTATTTATTGAACAATAATGTATATATTCTAATTTTGGGGAAAAGAAAGAATTTAATATTCTATCATAAGCTCTCTCCTGATTTGTTAGTATTTTTTCAGATTTTTTGACCAAATGACAAAATCGACTAAGGTAGTTCTTACCCTCCCATACTTGAGACCCGGGGATGCCCCAGAGATCATTTGTTACGAAGTTCCGCTCTCTCTATTTATCCTTAGTGGCTTCAAAATCCCACACAGCTGTTCTGCAAAGACTGATATGTTTGAATTCATTATAAATGGCGATTTACAAACAGCTAAGGTTAGACATCACTGCTTTAATTTTTTATTAGGATCCCAAAAATATGTATTTGGCAGATGATTGATTATTTTTTTTAAACACATTGCAGTGTGGTTCCAGAATAACATTTAAAGATGGTAGCATACTGGCTGAAGATATCGTTCATTGTAGCTATGACAACATGAGAACATGGCAGACGAAGCTCTTACGTGAGGTTGCATTTTCCAAAAAATATATTAAAAAGTAGTCCTATAGATTTTTATTTGTTCTTGCAGGTTTAGTGTACATATGTGATCTATGTAAAGGTTTTTTTCAGTTCTAAATTGCTTCCCGGTATTTTTTCAGGAAGAGTCATTAGGAGTGTATTGCTGCAAGTTCCATTCTGTTCCCTCTCATTGCTTTGTGGTGCATCGACAGGAATCTATTAAACTCGATATTGGAGAACTGCATAAATTTCCTGATCTAGAACGCCATCGTCTTCTTAAATCTGATCAGTGCATTCGACTTCGGTCAGATAAACGAATAGGCATTGCTATATCAGCAAATGCTGTACAGGAAAATGGGGATATTATTATTATGGTATATCAAGAATAATATATACAAGAAAGATTATTAGAGTTAAATTTCTTTTCGCTAATTATTATACCTTTGTTTGATTTATTCAGGTGGAGAAGCCGTTTGCAGCCTTGTGTCCAATATTACAGCTCTATTCTACAAGAAAAATTAATGGCACTATAGATATTTGTTTGCCATTGAAACACCAACCCACGTCAAACATTTTTAATGGTATGTATAAATTTTCTGTTTTTATATTTATCTATTATATATTTATAGTAAAGGATTCGCATTATTTTGAGAGAAAGGGGGCAATATGACCAAGGTGAACGTTCTCCGATAGATCTCTTGTTTTAATATTGCTGTTCTCAATTTATGGTCTTAGGGCATAGACTTCTTCAAATTTGCAAAAGGGTTGAAATATAAAGAAGAAAAAAAATAAGAAAGGTAAACAATTACTTCTTCTTAAAAAGGGGTAACACGTGAGTTCTGGGTGTTAATTCGTGAGAAGAATGCTACTTGGAAAAAGACTGAATGTCAAGTGGAACTGGACTTTGATCGAATAGTAGTGTGCCTTCGCCTAATCAACATGAAGTAAGGGCATAATATATACTGTCTCTTACTTTCAACATATTCATATTCCATGGCATAATAAATTTTCCTGTATTTATTAAAAATGATTGTGTATATTCATTATTTATTGAACACAGATTAAGCATGCAAAATACATAACATGATATAAATGTACTAGTATAAACTGTACAAAATAAAGTCAGCTTAACCATTCTTTTGATTCCTTCAGGACACCCACTGCAATATGTGTGAAGGAAGTTTTGCTACCCTGGGTAGGAATCTTAATTTTCAGTTTAACTCAGCCTTTGATATTTTTGCTATCTGATCTATAAATTTAGTACATATATATGTATATATTTCTATTTTTTCTCAGGGACAACTTCAATCTGCGACACAAGGTATACTTTTAACTCAAATATCTGTCACATGTAAACTGCGCCATTGAGTCAACTGAATGCTCACAGAAAGATCTGGAAAGTGGCTGAATGACAGAGATCTGCCACTCAATCACCTTTTAGTTAACTGAATAGCATAGTTTCATCTTGTAGTATCTTGCAAGTTATTCAAATAAATGACTCTTTTTGGCTTTTATGTCTAAAACAATGAAAATCTGTTTCAATATCTTATGACTTGTATATCATTTTATCATCGATATATTATTTGCAATGTAAACAGATTGGAAATTTGTGAGAGAAATAAACCAGTTGAGCCAAAATGCAGCGGTTCAGAAACACTGGCGGGATTTAGCAGAGAAATGCAAAGTGACCTTCACCTCCAAGTTTGAAGACCATCATATTCCCTATTTTATTTCTGTTGAGAACCGGAAGTATGTTTTCAACATGGACAGGTGCTTGTTCAGGCGAATCACCGCGGTCCCCATATCCGATCAAGAAAAATTCCTGACCATCTTGTCCACGTGGCTGAAAGGATTAAAGTCCAAGACCGGCGTGACCTCATTGATTCCGTTGCTGAGAGAATATAATCTGCCTTACTTACCGGGTACAGTAAACATTTTATTCAGTTTTGTTACCATAACAACCTTTTTCATTTTGCAAAAAAATTAATAATTCTAATAAAACACTTGCCAATGAGAAATGCTGGTAACATCTGAAATAGGGTTACTTTCGTTTGATATTAAATAAAAATAGGATATGATTATCCAATTCATTTACGTTACATACATTACATACAACAAAAACTGGCTATTTTTACTTTTAGATTTGTAGCTACGCCACATGTATGAAAACTTGTACAGAAAGAAGACGCTGCTACAGTCATTCAGTGTCAATCTGCACGTGAAAACATGCTTTCAATTTTATATATTTACATTTCCAAATATGTTTACTTAAGATTCTTTGCAAATTAGAGTATTGTTCATTTTCTCATGAACTACCATGGATGAGCATGAATATCCCCATTGTTACGTCATAATACCGAACTTGACGTCAAAACTATAGTGCAAACTGTTTTGCTTTAAAAATGACATTTGAATTGTGGCACCTAATCAGAAAAATAATGTAAATATAAGAAATAAATTTAATTTTTGAAGATTTATGAGGTACATGAACTACAACGCTTCACACCGGCATATTTATCATGAAGCGCTAACGCGCTTCATGAAATATGCCGGCGTGAAGCGTCGTAGTTCATGTCCTCATGAATCTTCAAAAATTAAATTCATTTCTTAAGCGAATTCCCATTTTCGCATGAATCGGATACATCATGGATCGGATTACTTTGACAAATCATAAATAAAATTCGCAGTATTAGAATTTTTACACAAGGGTGCGAATTTGAAGACTTTTTCCCTCCAATGAAACGACTTTTAAATAACAATTTAAAGAAATATATGATTTAAGAATAATAGGTATAGTCTATTGTATACTTTATTTTATTACATTTTCAACAGTGAAATACTGTGATTTATTTATTGAATAAAAGTGATATTCTCTCACAGTGTGAAAGGATACCAAAATGGTATTCTCTCACAGTGTGAAAGGATATCAAACTAAGTAAAAAAAAAAATTCTGGCCTGTCATAAGATAGAGATAGTAACTTAACATTTTGCTTGAGCTAAAACTGCAAATTTCTTCCCAAATATGTTGCTAAAGTCCATGCTATGTAATGTTTTCAATCTCACAACTGCTTAGCTATGACGTCTCAACCGCTCAACTATGACGTCAAGCCTATGACAATGTGTTAAGAAAAGACAGGGACAAAGGGAAAATCAAAGAAAATGTAATAAACAGAAAATTCAATGTTTTGTAGATAAATATGGAATTTATTTCACTCGTGAGACAGGATTTTTTGATATTTTCACTCGTGCTTCGCACTCGTGAAAATATCAAAAAATCCTGTCCCACTCATGAAATAAATTCCATATTCATCTACAAAACATTGAATATCCTCTATATATAGTCTATGTATAGTCCCTTTATGTACTAAAGCGCAAATTGTTTATCATTTGTTACTCTGTGTTTCAAAAAGTCACTTATTTTCAAAAACTTCTACTGAAGCAAAGTGTATTAAGAATTTGAGAACTTCATTTATTTTCTAAAATACAAAGTGATCACCGAAGTTCACCAAGTATCGAACTTCGTAATATATGTACAGGTATTATCATGGTATTACTTTTCTGCTGTATTTATTAACTTTTATGAAACTTGTTATTTCATAATAAACAACATTATTTTGAACGTGTTATATTTTGTGTTTATTTGGCAAAAACAAGCCAAATGTAGTCAGGGGAGTCTTTAATTCTTGAATTGAAATGCTTTTCTTACTATCCTTATGAAAATATTTTAGTTTCATGTGAACTGCATCTATTTAACATCGCAAATCCTCTCATTGTGGCTTAATAGTCCCCTACCTGTGAAACCAGAGGCGCTTGGTTTCTGGAGGGGGGATTTTGTGTATTATGTGTTTTTCTAGGTGTGACTGAATACACTCATTGAAATAAAATTTAAAAATTGCTTAAGGACAGATGATACAAACTTTTATCAAAAATCTTGAAAATAACAACTTAAGTCATGATTATGTAAGTAAAATAAGTTTATCCGAATGAAATTTAATTTTTCATTCATAGTTTCACAATAATACGATTTAAAGTGTAAAAAGGTTGTATAGATTTATATGGAGGGTTGCAGAAAGGTAGAATTTTAAACATCATAGAAAGTTTACGATTTCTTGATATTTTAGAAATTTATTATTCGCATTATTTACAACCAAAATAGGTCCCAAAATATATTCCAAACCAGGCATCCATTTTTTTTGTATCATCTGTCCTTAAGTAAGTACGTTTTAAAAATATCATATTACTGTATATGAAAAAAGTGAAGGTATGACAGTTGCCATCTTGGATTTCAGGGGGTGCCTCGGTTCATGCTTGGTTTTAATCTATATATATATATTTACTAAAACAACTCTTAAACTAACATAACTGCCCTAAGTGAAGAAATCTTAATATAGAAAGCACAAGAGAAATTTACTTTATTATTATAGGATACCCACTTCCGCCCCAACCCGTGGTTGAACTCTCGACCTACAGAATCTGCCTCCTAGCAGTACAGGAACAGCGTGCTAGACCGCTCGGCTATGCTTTCGATGCCAATGGAATTCTCGCAGCGCTGTCTACACTACACGGTCATTGAGAGTGGAAGCGAGATAGTTATTTAGACATTTATTTTATTAGAGGATCGTTACCGATACATAATGTAATGAATTAAAGCAATATGTGATCTGCAACTTTGATGTCAGAATTTTTTGTTGCAAAATTGTAATTAACTATTTCAATGACAGAAAAAAAGAATGTTTATAAACTTCTGTTGCTTATATTTGCGATGGAAGAACTATTTATAAGCTTTGAATGAAACAAAATTACATTTTTGTCGTCCTGTACAATATTGATTTCTTATATAACACTCTATATTTGATTGTACAGAATCCTTTATTCTGAAAAAATTTAATACTTTATTTCTGTATAATTGATCAAAAAGGTTTAAATTACAAATTTATCAAGATAACACATTTTAACAGCAAAATTTTTTTTTAAAATGCAGCTCATATTACTTAATTTTTTATTTATGAGGTACGTTTTACAACTCTTAAACTAACATATCCTAATAAAAGTGATTTTCTCTGTGTTTCCTATATTAATATTTCTTCTCTTAGGGCAGTTATGTTAGTTTAAGAGTTGTTGTAAAACGTGCTTTATAATTCATTACAATATGTGACGATCCTCTAATAAAACTAATGTCCAAATAACTGTATATCACTACCATTTTCAATGACCGTGTAGTGCAGGACAGCATCGCGAGAATTCCATCGGCATCTAAAGCACGTTAGATAGCCGAGCGGTCTAGCACGCTGTTCCTTTACTGCTAGGAGACAGATTCTGTTGAGAGGTGAGTTATGTACACCTTTAGAGTCCGAATAAATCAAGGAAAAAACAAACTGAAATTTTAACAAAATTTAATAAACAAAACAAAAGTAAATTTTTACAACAAAATAAATAAAAATAATAGAAATGAAATGTCTATCGGCAGACAGTCCTGGGAAGTGTCCTGGAAAGTGTTGATAACTGATCACAGCACGTCTGCTTAACATTTTAAGAATTTCGGTGTTGAAATTTCCTTATTTTTCACAAATGAAATTGAATATAAATTTACAAATAACACATAAATCACTGTTTCCTAAACTTTCACAATGGTGTTTGGATTATCTTTGGATTTAATCAATATAACTTTCAAAGAGTGGAATTCTTTTAAACACATAACTTTTAAATGCTGGTACCGAGCTGTCCGTCAGGGCTGCCGTATCTGACTCTATCACATGTGATGTTGTAAATGCATAACCAGGACTCTCCCTCTCGCCCTGGACTGGCTATTGTATCAATGGAATTAAAGTACCCCGCCCAAGACCTGTGTCATTTCAGAAACGGGAAGAAAGACCTAGGAAATAGGAACCTGGGGAAAAATAGTAAGAAAAAACAACCATACTAAATGTGTAGATTCTAACTATATAAACATATTTTACAAATTACATTTTCATTCCCGTAAATACCTGATGTACATTCGAGCACCCGCCCCGGAAACTTCAGAACAAGCCAAACAGGTCTTACCGTTGCTGTAACTTCCCAGGTACTACCCGAACACGCTCTCATGTAGATAAAATTGCTAATTCGAGGGGCTCCCCACAGGATAAAGACCAATATCTATTATCACACGATAGGGGTATCTTAAGGGCAAAATTTATTTGTTACAGATTCCGTCGGTCGAGAGTTGAGATTGGGGCGGAAGTGGGTATCCTAATAAAAGTGAATTCCTCACGAGAGGAAAATACCTCTGTTGACCATTTAGTCCAGAGTTACAACGAATGTATCTCTGATATCCTAGACACTCATGCACCTGTTGTAAGCGAATCAATTCTTATAAGACCTAACACACAGTGGTACACAGACGAACTTAGGGCAGCGAAACAACAGAAGCGAAGAGCAGAGAGACTTTGACGTAGAACTAAACTTGACATACACCACCAGCTTTTAAAGACTGAATTTAAACATACAGGCCACTTACTACACAAGGCCAAAGAGGAATTCTATTCTTCCAAAATTCAGGAATGTAGAAATGATCTGAAAAACTTCTTTAAAGTGACAGATTTATTGATGGGCAAGGTTTTTCATAGACAAAGTGACTTCCATCCGAGAGACACTGAAACAAAAGAAAACAGAACAAGATGTGTTTGTGAAACACTGATGCCCCCGTATGGCAGCTTATGGCGAAGGCTAAAGTTTCTCAAAATCCAGGCCAAAAGATAAAAAATGTTGGTATCTAAAGAAAGGTCTTGTCTCGAGGAATATACCTGTGAAATTAGAAAGCCCTAGCGGCAACTGTTCAAAAGTTATGGTGAAGGTTAAAGTCTTTTAAAAGTAAGTAAAACGTCAAGGTCAAGGTCAAAGTTGTTGGTATCCAAAGGAAGGTCTTGTCACAAGGATTACATATGTGAAGTATGAAAGCCCTAGCACCAACCATTTTTAAAAGTTATGGCCAAGGTTAAAGTTTTTTCGAAAATAGGTCAAACTCCTATTTCAAGGTCAAAGGGTCAAAGTGGTTGGTATCCAAAGGTAGGTCTTGTCACAAGGATTACATATGTGAAGAATGAAAGCCCTAGCATCAACCTTTCAAAAGTTATGGACAAAGTTATAGTTTTTCAAAAGTAGGGTAAACTC